ACAACCACAGCTGGCTCCCCGCACCGGTCCGCATTGCTGACCGCAGACTTGGGAGCGCGTGAGGTGGTGCTGGGGAGCCCCGCGCCCGGGTGGGTCAGCAGGCAGCCGAGCACCAGGCTGAAGGCCTGGCCGACCATCACGCCTTCGGTGGACAGCGTGAGCTCCCGCATGTGCCCGGGGCGTGCTAGGCTCTGGGGATACCCCAGCGAGCAAAATGGAGATCCCTGCCTCCATCGCAACCCCAACGACAGACTACATAGGTCAGATGTGACAGGCGGTGCGGGAAAGCATTTAACAGACCAGGTGAGGGGYGGGAAATCAGGGCCGGAGTCGCAGGTTGCGATTTCAAACACAGGCTGTCCACATAGCTCCATTAGGAATGTGGATTTTGAGCAGAGACTTAAAGGAGGCAAGAGTTAGCCACGGAGCCACCTGGGGAGGGCATTCCAAGTAGCAGGAATAGCTCGCGCAAAGGCCCTGAGGTGGGAGGAAGCAGGCTGGAGGCACGAGCTCCAAGCAGAGGACACGTTCCTGACGGGGCGCCCACTGTGGGGCAGAGAGTCAATGCCTGGCAGGGCCACTTCCTCTGGACTTCTGAGGACAATTCCATATCAATTCTGTTAGAAAACTGTGACCCTTTTGTAAAGGCAAAGACAGCGGCAGAGGGAGGGAACCGAGATCCATTTCAAAACAGAAACCGAAAAGGGGCTCTCTGTGTCCACGCCCACCCACTGGTCACTCATGCTCCATGGGCAGAAGTCACCCCAAATAGGACACGGGAATAACTGGCTTCTTCATCACACACGCAGGTGACCATTTTAAAAGGAACTTTGCAACCGACCTACGGTTTCTGCCCACCAGGGTGGATGCTGCTCCCAGGTGTCCCAACATAAACGTCAGGCCGCCCTGCCTTGCACGAGAACCACTGTGGCTCAATGACATGCTCGGGACATTTCTGGGACAAGGTGCCACTGTCATTGAAGGCCACTTGGAGGAAAGAAGCTGATTTTCTTCTGAGCTTAAGCCTTTGGTAGTAACTTAATTAGGCCGCAAAACCATCACTAATAGCTGTCGGAAGGACCCCTGAGTCACTAGGGGATGACAAACGTGGCAAAGCCACCTCCACCAGCAAGGACGGCTGGAGTTGGAAATCTGTCTTCTGCCTCCCTCCTCGAGGGTCACCGCAAGCCCCAGGCCTCAGAGCCTGTGTCCTCCCCACCCCTTTCTACACACACACACACACACACACACACACACACACACCCCTGCAGCGCGAGATATAAGGGAAAGAAAAATCCTTTTAACAATTATTTTAAATTTTGCAATATTACATACCAATTCTTGCCCACTTACCTTCTTTTTAAATTCTGTTTATTGGTTCTGGTTTTGAGTCGTACCTGACAGAGGACTCACTGTGACAGGACTCCACAGGCATGGACGACATCTCGCTCTAACTCAGACCCCAGCACCCGCCCTTCCCTGCCCTCCCACCCCTTGCTCCCTCCCACAGACCTTTTTCTTTTTTTTAAAAACCTTTTAGGTACTGCTTTAAGGGTTGCTAAAATAATATGCTGATAGCTCTATAATCCACTAATAAAACATTTATTTGAGGGTATTTGGGCTAAAAACGATGGCTATGGATTGAACTATGGCTTGCAGGTGTTTCTTTGGTGTTTTCAGGGACGTCCCGGGGAGGCTTGGGATCTGGGTCTCAGCACACTGGCGTGCTACCAAGTAGCAGAGGTGCCCCTTCAGGGAGAGCATGCGACATCCACTTTGCTACAGTTGCCACCACTCCCTGATGTCACCCACCAGGCCTGCCTCCTTCCCTCACATTATCACCTCTCTGATCCCTATGAATACTTGAGTTGCCACCTTGGATTTCATGTCCCTGACACTACAGATGGGTGACAAATGATGCCTTCAGGTAATTTTTTGCTCACGTTCAACAGAACATTTCCTCAGGGTATATTTCTGAAAGCAGTCCCACTGTACAAACATGTTCAGTCTCCTGCCATACTGTACTCTACTTAGGGTGTCCTCTGGGACTACCCTCCTTTGGGGTGGCAGCTCTTTCTTTTACAATTGTCCATATAACCCCCTGCAAAGACCCTCTCCTAGGAACTTGAAAATTGGATTTAAGGACATAATTGTGTCTGAACTGGTCACTGAAACTGAACAAAGAGAAATTTTGGCAGTGGAGAGGTTATGTTTGGCCAAATATACACAGAAAAGAAAAAATGTTTTTGCTAAAAGAAAAATGAGATAACACGTGAATGGAGAGATGTGGAAGCAAGAAACCCTGGGGGAGAGCTGGGGTCGTAGCTCGTTGATAGAGCGCTCACCTCGCCTGCACAGGCCCTGGGTTCAATCCCCAGCGAGGGTGGGAGGCAGGCATTGAAGGCGGAGGCCAGAGGCCCATGGACTGCCGGCTCCTGCCACGCCACGCTCCCTTGGGTGGATGCTGGCCTGTTCTTTCCAGGTTTTTCTCGGCCCCGATTTGGAGGTCAGGCTCTCGAGGCCAGCTCCCTGTCCTTTGTCCACAGCTGTGTCCCAGCTCTGGTGGCATGTGGGAGACGCTGACCTAGTTGGTGAGATGTAAGCCAGGAAGGACCCCTGAAGAGGTCGCCCCTGCCCGAGATCTCAAGGCTGGTTTCCCAGCTGAGCCAGGGTCAAGAGCCCAGCCATAGCCCACTTCTCCCTTGCTCCTGCTGGGTGGGCTCTTCTTACAGCCCCTGGGCTGGACCCTTTAACTTAATTCACGAACCTTGAACGTGTCACYATCCTGCATAAATTTGGGTTTCTGCCCAAATGCCCCCGCTCAAGGCCTCCTTCCTGGAAAGCACACCACCCCGACACCGGCCCAGGGCCTGCGGGCTCCGCTTTTCTTCATGCCAATAAAGTCACCGCGGTTGGACCTCTGTTTTGTTGTCGGTCCCTCTGGGTAGAAATCCTTTCCTTGGGGTCACTGCTTTTTCCTGAGCAGGGACGGCACATGGCGGGCGCACACTGCGGCCTGACAGGCACTGAGTGCCACATGTATACTAAGTACTGAGGAGCTCAGTGCAGGGGAAAAGATGGAGAGGCAGGGTGCTCAGCACGCGGGGGCCAGGCGGCGGGAAGGTCCCGTGTAGAGGGTGATATTTTAGAAGACACCTGCGGGAGGCGAGAGAAGAGCTGTGCACTCCTGGGGAAGAGCAATCCAGGCAGAAGGACCTGAGGCAGAGATGTTTTCAGGAAGCAGTGAACGGTGGAAAATGGTGGTGGAATGGAGTGTGCAAGAGGGAGAGCAGAATTCGGTCAAAATAAAATCAGGAGTTAGTGGAGGTTTTTAAAAACCAGCTTTATTCAAGTATCATTCACATGCAGCAAAATGCACCTGTCTTATGTGTACAGGTTGATGAGTGTCGACTGAAGCTCGTGCCCACGCAGCTGCAGCCTTAACTGTCATGGGGAACATTCTTGTGATCCAAACTTCCCTTGTTCCCCCAGGTACCCCCTCTGCCTCCCACCCCAGGCCCAGGCCACTTTGTTGCTGTGGCCAGTTCTGCCTGTTCTAGATTTCATTTGCACAGGACCATGTGACAGTCTCTGCAGGTCTGGCTTATTTTGCTCAGTGTGTAGTTTCCAAGATTCATTTCCTTTGTGTTCCAGAGTGGCTTCTCTTAGTGCACAGGGAAGGACACCAGGTGCCTCTGGTTTTTCACTGTTATGAACAGAGCTGCTTTTGCCATCAGGGTGCTGAGGTCTGTGGGAGCCCATGTTTCATTCCACTTGAACGAAGTGGAGAGGCATTTTTGGGTTGCACAGGTAGGGTGCTTAATTTTACAATAACATTTCAGAATGTTCTGGGCATGATGAGATCGCTTAAAAATCTAGTTAGCAGGCTGGGCTGGGGCTCAGTGGTAGGGCGCTTGCCTAGCATGTGTGAGGACCTGGGTTCGATCCTCAGCACCACATATAAATAAAGTCCACTGACAACTAAAAAAAATAAATAAATAAAAGAAGTAATGCTATAAAAAAGAATCTAGTTAGCTTCCTCAAGCGTGCCACCCATTGTTTGAACGAGTCACCCATGAGCGTGCAACTCCGTCTCTGGTTTCTTCTTGTGTAGCTGATGTCCCTATAAATACCTGCCTGATCTGAGGCTGCAAAGGTTATCTGTGTATTTTTTTCCCTAATAATAGTCTTGACTTTTAAGTCAAAAGAGAGTTTTGAGCAAAGAATGGATGTCCGCGCTRTGGCATCACTTTGCTTTGCTGAGGTGGGGCTCGGGCAGCGCTCCTGGGGACACCACGGCAGCTGCCCAGGCTTGGACCTAGAGGGCCAGGTGCCATGGTGAGCAGGTCAAGTTCTGGAGATATTTACCAGCAGGGTCTTGGGGTCCTTTAGCCCTGCTGGACGGATACCGTCCAGCTTTGCGGAATGTTCTTCCCTCTCCCTGACGTCTCCATGCTTGCAGGCCCCGAAATGGAGTCCTGAGCTATGTCTGCTGTATATTTTAAGTTATCTTCACTGTTTTAAAGAACTGGTTGTAAGTCTGTCCAGAGGTTGTGCTTGTCCAGGCACGGCAGCCCCAGCACCACACGGCAACTCATCAACTCACTCACAAGATTAAAACTAAAGGGAACCAACATATTTCATGTCACACTCTGTGTTACTTCTGTTAAGACTCATAAATCCGTGTCTCCTACCTTGGCCACATCAACTCACTTCTGACCCTTTCTCTAACTCAAGATTTACTGCCAAGTGACTCCTTTTGCCAGATTTGTTCTTTATATCACCTACTTTGCACACTAGGCAACGAGACAATAAATTTATTGTCTATGAATTGTTACTTTGAAAAATTACATCAATGCAAAGTGATTGCCTTTTAGCCTCCAGAGCCAATACATTTACATTTTTCTGAATGAGGTCATGGGATGATATATATAATTGGTGACCACGGACTGAGGAGGAGCAAGCTGACAGCACTCCAGGACAGAGCCAGGGGGACTTTGCCTCTCCACAATCATGTACCAGCTGGCCTCCTGCTGCTTGCTCTTTATAGGATTCTTAAATCCTCTCGTATCTCTTCCTGTCACTGACTCCAGGGACATGTCTCTCCAGCTCCCAGGTAAGATGCATCTTTTGTGCTAGTCTTTCTGAAGGATCTCCACTGGCCTTCGGGGCCATGCTGGAGGTGAGGGTGGGATTYCTGCTTGGAGGAGCTGGTTACATGGATAGTTCCAGCTTTCCCAAGAACACCGGGCGCCCTTGCAGCACAATTTAGATTTAGTAGTGGACGCAGCTTTCCCTTTCTAAAACGTAAACACAGAAAAGTAGCACTGCTGGCTTCATATCACCTCTCGAATTCAAAATTTTGCTTTGGTCAATATTTTTTCCCATTTATAGAAATTGCACTGAATTTAAAACATCATTACTTTTAATTTTAAAATAAACTGGGTTGAGTGTAGAATCAGCTGTTCTAGTTACGGATCAGTAATGCTCTCTCCCCTTCTATAATAAAAAGTAATCACCTGATGTGTGGTTGAGACAAACGGGCTTATTAAAGATCAGGAAAGCGGCAAGCAGGGCAGGGATGTCACAGTCTTCCAAGTGCATTTATCTTTTCCTTTTGATACGTGCTCATTTCATAAAAGTCCAAGTTGAGCTTTAAGAAAATACAACCAGTGAGGTACATTAGTTTAAGAAGTGAGAAGGCCGAGGTAAGTTCCATTAAAAAAATTTTTCACTGGATTTTATCTTTGAGTACTTTTAGACATTTTTTTTTAAATAAAGAAAAAAAAAAAAACTCTTCTAAGCAATTGATTTTATAATTTCTAGCCTCTAAAAGTTTCTCCAAACAGCTTTCTCATGATTTTCAAGTGTTGCTAGTCATTCATACATCATCAGTCACTTCTGGGTCACTGAGCTCCTAACTGGCAGTCACCTTGTTGGTCAAAACCAGGCACTAACCAAATCTCTATTATTTAAAAAGAGACTTTGATAAGCACTGTAAGAAGAAATCAAATGAATATTCAGATACTAATGTATTTTAAACACTCAGATAATAATTAGAAACAAAATCAGATGAAATGAGGGCAGCACCTCTCCCAGATTCCAGGCAGGCAGAAGCTTACCGTGGAATTTTTGTCAAATCTTTGCTCCTTCGTAAAGGACCTTTCAAGCCATAAGCACCTGTCCATGATCAGACTTTACAGGTTTCGTTGGTATTAGAAATGCTGAGAACATGCCCGGACGCCTTTCGGACGGAGGGTTTGTGTGCCGTCTTGCAGACAAGGTCYTAGCTCCGCTGTCAGGCTGCGGCCATGTGTGGCTTCCGCCCACTCCCGCAGCCTGTGCCCCTGCGCGGCAGCGTAGTCCACGACTCGGATCCAATACAAGCRCCCTCAGAGCTTTGGTGATGACTGCACAGTGCAGGGCCAGCCCACTGGCCACGTTTCATGCTGGAAAAGCACCTTAAATTGATTCACACCAATCAAGCGCCTTACAAGTGTTCTTGAAGCTAATTCTTTTCCAGGATAGTAATAGTTGTATCTCCACCTGGAGGACAGTGAGAGGTGCTGCCACTGCCCTCCCTTTATGGAAAGAGCAAAAACCATCTCTTTTCCTCTCGTTCCAATGGCACCACCCAGATATCTAAAGAAAAGGCAGTCAGCTGCAGGGGACAAGTAGGGAAGGAGGGTCCCTCAGACTCTCTGAGCTACAGGGTGCTGAGGGCCCCGGCTCTGCTCTCCCTCCTGCTCAGGGCTCTCCCTCCTGGATGGTGAGGTGAGTCACGTATGCAGTGAAGAGGTGACATATGAGATCCACATCTCCTGACCTCTGTCCTGCTGGCATGCAAATGGACAGTGAGACTTTCACTTGTTAAAATATCACTAGTGCYGGGTGCAGTGGCGCATGCCTGCCATTCCAGCCACGTAGGAGGCCGAGGCAGGAGAATCCCAAGTTTGAGGTCAGCCTTAGTAACTCAGTGAGGCCCTGTGCAAATCAGTGAGACCTTGCCTCAAAATAAAAAATAAAAGGGCTGGGGATGTGGMTCAGTGGTAGAGCACCCTGTGTTCAATATCCAGTACTGCAAATAAATAAAACACCATCAGTCCCAGATCACGAACTTTGCATCTGAAGTTTTTCTAGTATTCCTCTCCCTGTTGCTGGTACTCCCCCAACACAACAGGGAGCAGAAATGATGAGCTGAAGGCCGGAGCGAGTCACTGGTCTCGATCTCACTCTGCAGCACCTGAAGACGACGCGAGGCTGGCCCTGGAGGAGCTGGAAAGAGCCTCTATCCTAAAGCTGCTGCCAGAGGTGCTGGGTGCGGGCAGAGGCGACGGGCTGCTGGGTGCGGAGAGAGGCRACGGGCTCTGGGAAGCAGGTCAGCTGAGTCCCTGCTTACAGAGGGCTTGGTTTCATGGCTACTGAATTCACCCTCTGTCCTCAGACGAGGGGAAACCCTGTGCGGGAGCATAAAGGCGCACCAGATGGAACAGCAAAACTAGTGACCCAGCGCTCTCCCCTCTTGGCCCGGACTCCCACTGCAACCTGCGGTCCTCACCACCCAGCTCCAGGGGTGCAAGGCACCCTGAGCCTCTCTTTCTGTGTGGATGGGGGGTGGGGGGCAGTGGTGATTTTGTTTCCAACGAGTGCAATTTTAAATCCTGGTTTCCCAGGGTTTGAATCTTTTTGTAACCCAGCTCTTCATCAGTAAACAGAAATGACAAACACCCACCTCTGGAGGTGTTTTGAAAAGTCAGTGAAAAAATGCAAGTGAAATGCTCAGAGAACAAACGCCAGCTCTGACTCCTGTCCATGGCTAGTGTCTCCCCCAGCACGGACGCCATGCTCAGGACATTCCAGAAACAAGATGGAGCCTTTCACTGCGTTATTTAGCAGATGGTAGTTCAGCTTTTATTAATTTTTAAAAAAATCAAATATTGAACTGTTAAGCATTTTTGCAAGGCCTCTGTGAACCCCAGAGGTAAGGACCCCTCTCTGTATTCAAAAGTGAACCCTGCTGCAGCATGAGGGATTGGGAGGAGATGTGACTCATCATACACTATTTTATGTGTTCTAAAGTAAGCACACACTAGGCACAGCAGATCTGATGAACTGGTTTCAAAACTGTTTTCCAGATCCTACTATGAACATTTCCAACCCAAGAAGCCATCCGAAAAAGGTAAGTATCTCTGCTTACAAGAGGTAGGAATGAAAGGGGAGACTTCTAGTCCTGATTTCACAGGACTAGAAGGAACTAGTGTTCAGGAACTGCTAGTGTTCTTGTAAAAATTGCACCTTAAAGTAATTGGCCAGTGTTGTAGAAGCATTAACTTGTCCAAACCATTATTCATAAAAAAATCTGAATGTGMCAAGGACTCACCAGTGTCTGTTTAGGGTAAGTTAAATAAGTTGTAAGAATTTAAAGCAAAACAAAAACAACAACAAAAACCAACCAACTAAACAAATAAGAAAACCAGACAAGGTCCTTGCTCTCAAGTGTGCTGGTCACTGTACAGTCAAGAAGACGGTACCGTCTTCTTGACTCCCGCCAGAAGCACTGCATCACCTGGGAGCTTGCAAGAACCGCCAAGTCAGCAGCGTGTAGTGGCACACGCCTGTAAATCCCAGCGGCTTAGGAAGCTGAGGCAGGAGGATCGCCAGTTCAAAGCCAGCCTCAGCAACGGCGAGGAGCTAAGCAACTCAGTGAGACCCTGTCTCTAAATAAAGTACAAAATAGGGCTGGGGGTATGGCTCAGTGGTTGAGGGCCCTTAGTTCAATYCCTGATACCCCCTCAAAATAAAATAAAACCCACGAGTCATCCCCCTACCTCAATGAGCTCCCCCCCCACACYTGACAGCCCTGGGAGCTCGGCACCTCCATCTCAAGGGAGGAATGCTGTGTCCACAGTTGTGGGGTGCAGGACGGAGCAGAGAGCAGTCTCGAGAAAGTCGCTTTGGTGGAGAGGGCTGGAATAGGGAACGAGGATGGCAAAACCCTTGGTTAGAAATGGTGCACAGCGCGCAGAGGACCTGACAAGCTAGAAGAAAAGTCTACGCAATCATCATCAACCCCAGAAAGCTCTTGATGTTGCTGAGGGGTCTCCTGAGTGMGCCTCCTGCGCCTGGCCTCGGCTGCCCAGGGTTCCCACTCTCCCTTCCTGGCAGTGCATGTACCRCAGCGTCTGAAGGCCCCCAGAAGGTCACTAGCTCAAGAGCCTCATTTAACACTAACCAACCACTTCCCATTCTGACCAGAGGCACCTCTTTGGCTATAATGCCCCTTAACATTCCAGCAAAAGTACAAGGTGGACACATTAGATCCTGCAGACAGCACACACCACATACCACCTGCAGTCCCAGAGGGAGAAGCTACCCAGAAGGGGACGCCCTGGCTTCTATATGTGGCTAATTACAAGTCACCATTCCCATGTTCACGTTCTCCTGAACAGGGTTATGATTCACGATTAAAACCACACAGGTGATAAGTAGCTGTGTTTGTTAAATTCTAGGGAAAAAAAAAACAGAATAAAGAGAAAATTTTACGACCAGGATTTGATACACAGAGAACAATATATGTGCAGAACATGTCACTAAGAGAGAACTTACACAGGACTAGGCCAACAAGGGCTTAGAAAACTTCACAGCAACCACAGGAGGGGAGACTGGAGGCCTGGGACGAGGAGCCRGAGGGAGGCCAGAATCCAGGGGGCTCGGCCAAGGCTCCTTCCTCTTGCACTGAGGGTTGACGCTGTTCTGGATTGTTCTGGTTTCAGGCTTTCCCTGAAGAGGGTCCTAACGTTTTTCTGAGTCAGCTCTTGGCCAGACCCAGGAAACAGCACAAGCAGCACGGGCCCCCCCTGGAGTGTTTCTGGAAGTACTGCGTCTGAGGCGAGAGGGACCCGGCTCAGTGTGGACAGTCGGACACAGGACACCTGACCAGAAGCACTGAAGAAAAACGAGGCCACCACCCAGTTCACCCTTGGGAAACACGCTCTAGTCCACAAGATCACGAGTGGTTAGTTCACTTGTAAGCATGTCCTGGAATCATTTGTCATTTTTCTTACCTTCAATTTAGTCCTAATTTCTTGGAAATTTAAAGTAAAGATAATAAATAAATAGAAACAAATACTAAGAAGAAAAATCCATAAAGGTGAAATTTCATCAAAATCATTCAACTACAGACCATTTAAACAGCAGCTGGTGTCCTCTCACCCTTAAAAATGACCACGTAAACGGCTGGTCTCTAGAGTGAGTGACACCTCCAGGCAGAACCCAGGATGGGCTCCCACCAGGAGGTTCCTGGGCTTGGCCTCGCTGCTCCCCGAACAGCCAAGACATTCACACAGACACCTGCTGGAACTGCGCTCCTCGGAGCTCTAGAACCACAGTTCATGTATTCTCGGGGAAATACCTTAGTTTCTTATTGAGAGAAAAGGCTATGGCAGGATTTAAGATTGCAGAACAGAAGAAAGAGCCCTGTTTACTAATCTTTAGAAACCACACGTGTGTAAATCTACTCCACGTCACCAGCACCTCCACAGTGATGTGGTCAGAATGACTAGGGTGAGCACCAAGGGCTCTGCAGACTGTCCAGAGGGGACCACAGGGGCTGTCCATCCCCCTCCCTCGCAGCACAGGCTGCACCAGGCACTTGGAAGCAGGTGATGTGCACTTATCTTATCAGCAGCCATCACAAATCTCTTAGAGTGCAGCTGGATAAAGCTCTCCTGGTTTAAGACATCAAGAACATCTGTAGGGAGGGCTGGGGTTGTGGCTCAGCGGTAGAGCGCTTGCCTAGCACATGCGAGGCCTTGGGTTCAATCCTCAGCACCACATAAAAATAAAGAAATAAAATAAAGGTATTAAAAAAAAAAAAAGAACATCTGCAGAGAAGGATGTTAGTGAGGAGAGGGTACTTGATCTCAGATGCATGCCCACACCAGGCACAGCCATGGGACACGCGGGGCCTCTGAGAGCTGAGGGAGCCCATGCCAGCTCGCACCACGACACCAGAAAGAGCCTCACGGAAGAATTCCCTTGTAGTGATTCCAAAATCCCTCACTCATGGTAATWTCGGGAGATTATTCCTACAGCTCCCAGTCAGATCATGAAATTCAGACCCTAACTCGCTTCACGTACCAGCTGTGTCCTCCACCAGGCTATCTGCTCCCTTGCCACAGTGTCTTCCATAACAGGGACGACAAGGCTTATTCCGGGGAAGCTGAGACCAGGAGCTGTTGACCCACACTAAGGCCCTTTCCTTCCTGCTGTGGTCACTGTTGCCACAGAGAGGTGGCAGGGATTCAAAAAGGGTATTATTAAAAGACCTGTTGACTTCAGGCTCTTGTTCCATATTTTAATTTCTAGATTTTATTGCTGCTAAGTTACAGTCTTTGTTTTTTTTTTTTAATTTTTTAAGAGAGAGAGAGAGAGAGAGAGAGAGAGAGAATAATTTTTTAACATTTATTTTTTAGTTTTCAGCGGACACAACATCTTTGTTTGTATGTGGTGCTGAGGATCGAACCYGGGCCGCACGCATGCCAGGCGAGCRCGCTACCGCTTGAGCCACATCCCCAGCCCAAGTTACAGTCTTTGTAAAACACAGGTTCACCCTGTGGAATATGAAAGAGTAATATGCTAACTGGGTTTCATTAAAGTGGCATGAAAATTACTACACACACACACACACACACACACACACACACACACACGGAACCCAATAAATTCTTCACAATGCTGGAGCAAGGATTAAATGAGCCAATGTGCTGGGGAAAGGGACTGAGCCACGCCTGTCACCACTAGCCCACATGCGCTGCAATGGCAACCCAGTGCCTCCAGGAGAAGCGCCTCTCATGACGCAAAACCCACTTGAGACCAGGGCTTGCCACATAGCACTGCTAGGGACCCACAGGTTTCACATGTATAGTTTATTATTTTACTTAAAAAAGATACCCAAATAAAATATTAATAGCCATTAAAAACCAGTAAATCACATAATTATAAATTCAGTTGAAACAAAATTTCAAGTTGGATTAAATTTACTTTATGAATAATGAAGTTTTGTGTAATTGCAAAACTATTCCCTTTGTACAGCATTTTGTTTTTCATAAATTTTGGCCTCTGACCCAAGAAAATAAAGCTTTTTGGGTAGTATTTATGTAAACATGGAAGCCTATAAAATACACTTTTATCACCAGTTCCTACAGTCATTAATACAAAAAGCTGATAATAAACTTGAACAACCAAGCTTCAACTGGGTGAGACCAGACCCCTGGGGGGGAGCAGAGGCCACTGTGAATCCCCTTTCATCTCGCGGTGTGACAACCTCTACATGCACTGAACAATCTTCTTATCAAGAGAAGAGGCCTGAGAGTGCTCCTACAGACCTGTCCTCAACAGCACCACGTCAGATCCAGCCTAGCATCATGTGACTACACAGAATGTGTACGAAGGAGAGAAACAGGTGATTCTAACAAGCGAACATCCAAAACAGCACAAAGAAGCCTTGCATYGGCACAGAACACAGAGTTTAAAGTACGCACACATAAAGGCAGAATGACCCTGATAGGTCCAAATGCCAACTTTGACTACACAAACTAAGAACTTCATTACTCTAGAAAGTTGTCAGTGGACAGGCTAATTTTTTAATCTGATTTTTTTACCAAGGGGAAAAAAATACCAGAACAACTGGATCAACACACAAAGACCTCAGAAATCATTTAACTATCAAGATGGAATAGAATATGAGTGTTCTCTCTTCATAAAACAGCAATATTTGTATGCGAATGCTTGATACTAGAAAATTTCAAGAAATGTCAAAGGCAGCATTTGGAACTGATTTTTGACACCTGACRACTGAATCCAGAACCCACTACTTTGGGAGAAAATCTGAGCTACAGGATTGGAGAATCAGGGTCCATCTATTCCACAAACAAAAAGGTCAATTTGCCTAATCATTATGAGGATGCATTTAGAAAAAGTTATGAAACTTCAAAGGAGAAAGAAGTCTTTTCCTAAAACAAACAAAAAACAAAACAAAGAAAAGAAAAATAAGTTTGTTGTAAGTTATATAAAAATACAAGGTCACTGTGACCTTCATCTTCTATTTCCTTTTCTGAGCTGCATGGGTGTGGATCACGCATATCATTCTAAGTCTGAGAAGGAACCATGACTTCTCTATAAAGAGCACCGGAGTGAGCCAATCTGTCAAGTCAACACTCACTTCTTGAGACTCTTCGGCAAGTGACACAGAAATCAATGACTCCTGAGGACTGCAGTCCCTGAGGGCTGGGGAGGCTGGGGTCGCCGAGCTCCCCAGGGGTTTCTCACTGGGTATCAGAACACTTACCCTGTTCAAGGGCAAACAAAAGGCAGTGCCAATCAGACCTCTGCTCAGCACAGAAAGCCATCTTTGTGTAAATTCAGTGGAAAGCAAAAGTTAATGGTTAAACACATATGCAATAAGAATAATATTAACTTATASAACTTTTGTCCACTTTTTACAATCATTATTTTAAAATCAAAAAATCTTAAAAAGAAAAACACTATTGGTTGAGTAAACAGCTCTTTTGTTTTAACTACATTTATAATTGCTAAAAGTTCTCCAAAGAATAAGCCCCTTAATAAATTGACGGATTCTTTTTAGAAAAGCCTTTTAGTGACAGGTTAAAAAAAAAAAAAAAGTAAAAATGCATTTGTAAGAATGAAAGTAAAAATCCAGCCTTAAAAATAGTTATTTCCTGATTTACTAGTGGACAATAGACTTTAATGGGTGGCAGGAAACTGGGATGTCCTCTCTGAGTCACAGGGGAGCACCACGCTGCGGAGACCATCACGGAGGCACACGCCCAGGGGTGTGCTGCTCCTCGCACTCCACCAGGGAGAACGACTCAGGTAGCAACAGACAGACCAGAGAGGCTCAGCTGTGGGCTCATTTTAGCTGTACTTCTAATCATAATTTATTTTGGGTGATATTTGAAATAAAATTTTACCATACACCTACCTCTTAAAGGCAATCCAATCTCTCTAGAAGAAGGCAGCTAAACTAGAAAAGGAGTCTAATTGGCAGTTTTAACACATCAGGAACAAAGAGAAGATTCGATATACAATGCTGCTTCTGCTTCAGAAAAATGACGTCTGTTAAAAAAGCACGGTGGGAAGTCTTATGTTGATGATGACTTCGTGATCACTTGACTTCGTGATCACTTGTGAGTCGAGCTTTAGAGACACATAGGGAGGTCTGTCACATGTGCCCTGGAAAGCTGGTGCAAGGACATCCTCATGGTGGCTCAGCTGCTGTCTTCTCCTGGATGCGGCCCAGGGGCCTCTGCGGTGTCACCAGCTGAACCTCTGTCTTCACAGGTGGCGCAGCTCTCAAAAGAGAACACAGGCAGGCCTGTTACGCAACGTCTGTGCCCTCYGAGGGTTTAGAATCAGCACAGGGCTGGCCAACAACATCATTTCTAACTCCTSAACTTATTCATGTCCGAAAGTACCTAATATGGTCCATTTTTGTAATTATAAGAATGTAAATGACAGAAACTGTTTAGATACGTTAGCTTAAATTCTTTGGAAGCTCATTCTTCACGTACTCTTCCAGGGGGAGTCTATTTGAAGGCTACAACTTCCAGGGGAAGGTCTCAATGGTAAACTGTGGTTGGTTTCAGTCAAATTCAGCTGCAACAAGAGCACGGGCTACCCAGTGGACATGCATGTATTTCTGGAGCAGCGTGCATGCAGCTCATGGGAATCAGAGTGGACAATAAGGACTCCATCCTCCGACAACTGGGACCTGTGCTCTGGCTGCTGGCTGCTGCTAGTCTTGGTGGTGTAGACACTCAGGTGGGCAGCCATCAAGACACCTTCCCCTCTACTGTTGCAAGCTCCTGCCCCACCAGCTGAAGCAACCCTCAAGGAATTTAAAGGGCCAATGCCCTTTTCTTTTTTTTCTACCCACTCCTACCCCTCCCCCCACTTTGGGAGGCAGAAATTTAAAGTCTAGGACATTCAAATGCAACCACTTATGTGGGGAATTGGAGAGTCTCCATGCACATCTGGGGAGAAGTGCAGACCTAACAACGGTCTGGGAAGTCCTGAGGTCTGTGCCTCCTGCTGCCCTCCAGCAGATATGGTCATGACAACCAGTGAGAAAAGCCAAAAGCAGCAAGCTCCAGGGACGGAGCAGGAGTCTACCAAACAACCAGGTCCCAAGGTCTAGTTCAACCACCGCTGCAGGCCCAAAGACAGGAAAGCACTGCCCACTCAGGAAGAAGGAGCCGAGAGCAAGGGCTCCCGAGGAGGAGCAGATGGCTGGCTTACTAGACAAGGGCTTCACAGCAACCATCTCAGAGATGCTTCAAGAACTCAAGGAAGACATGGAAGAAACCAAGACAATGTATGAACAAAACAGAAATATCAATAAAGCAATAGGAAATATGTAATGAGGGGCTGGGGCTCAGCGGTAGAGCACTGGGTTCCACCCTCAGCACCACATAAAAATAAACAAACAAAATAAAGGTAGGTGTCCATCTACAACCAAAAATAGTTTTAAAAAAAGAAAACATAAAATAAAATCAAAAAGAAACTCTGTACCTGAGAAAGACAAAACAAATGAAAAATTCCCTAGAGGGACTCAAAGGCAGACATGGAAGGCAGAAGAAGGAACTAAGAATGTGAAGACAGTCGAACTGTCAAGCTGAGGAACAGAAAGGAAAGACAGAAGGGAAGTGAACAGGGCCTGAAGTGCCCGTGGGACCATCAAGAGAGAAGCAAGCACGGAGCAGGACAGGGGGGTGTGAAGGAAAACGGCTGAGAACTTTCCAAATTTAGTGAAAGATATGAACGTACATGTCCAAGAAGCTCTCAATCAACTCCAGGAAGGATAACCTGAGATACCCACCCTGAGATCCATTACAATCAGTTTAAGGTTCAAGAAAGAGCATCTCAAAGGCAGCAAGGAAGGATTCACCAGGTACAACGGTGAGGCTACAGGCAGAGGTCCCATCAGATATTACGGAGGCCAGGAACACTGAGCCAATATATYTAGAGTACTTTAAGAAAACCCAAACTGTCAATCAAGAATCCCATATCTGGCAAAACTCCTTCAAAAGTGAGGGAGAGGGCTCAGTTGGTAGAGTGTTTGCTTTGTATGCACAAGACCCTGGGTTCGATCCTTAACACCACCAAAAAAAAAAAAAAAGAGGGAGAGTTGGGCATGGTGGTACACGCTTRTAGTCCCAGCTACTCAGGAGGCTGAGGCAAGAGGATTGCAAGTTTAAGSCCAGCCTCAGCAACTTAGTAAGACCCTGTTTCAAAATAAAAAATAAAAAGAGTTGGGGATGTAGCTCAGTGGTAAAGACGTGCCCCTGGGTTCAATTCCTGGTACAAGGAGGGAAAAAAGTGAGGAAGAAATTAGGAATTAGAAATGTTAAAGGTTGAAATGAAAGGACAACAGACAATAATTCAAAGCCAGAGGAAAAAAATAAAAGTTCTCAGTAAAGAAAAATATGGGGGTAATTATAAAAGCTACTATTATTCTAATAATGACATGTAACTTTTTGTTTTCTATATGATTTAAAAGACTAATACATTTAAAGAAAGCTAGTCTCAAAGCTAATATTATGGTAACTTTAGTTTGTAATTACATATTTTATTTTCTACATCATTTAAGAGATTAATGAATAAAAACAGTTATTAGTTTTGTTTTGGGACATACAATATATCAAGATCTAACTTTGTGCTGGGCACGGTGGTGCATACCTATAATCCTAGCAATGGGAGGCTTAGGCAGAAGGTTTGCCAAGTTCAAGGTCACCCGCACAACTTAGCAAGGTCCTATGCAACTCAGCAGGACCTTGTTTCTAAATAAAATACAAACAAAGGTCTGGGGATGTAGCTCAGAGGTAGAGCACCCTGGATTCAATCTCTAGTACCAAACAAACAAAATCTAATTTTGTAACATCAGTAGCTGAAAGGAGATAGAGGTGGAGCTCTATAGAAGTGGTTTTTGTTCGCTGGTTGGTTTTTGGTACCAGGGATTGAACCCAGGAGCACTTAGCCACCGAGCCACGTCTCCAGCCCTTTTTTTGTACTTTATGTAGAAACAGGGTCCTGCTAAGTTGCTTAGGACCTTGCTAAGTTGTTGAGGCAGACCTTGAACTCACAATCCTCCTGCCTCAGCCTCCTGAGCTGCTAGATCATAGGCATGCACCACCCTGACTCAGCTCAGGTTTTTTTGTTTTTTTAATGTTATTGAAGTTAAGCTGGAATAATTCAAACTCGAGTGATATAACATTGGGATATTAAATATGACCCTCATGGTTACCACAAACAAAATAATTACAGAATATACACAAWAGAAAATGAGCAGGGAATTAAAATTTTCATTGCAAAAAATAAATAAATAAACCTAATACAACAGAAGACAACAATGAAAAAACAAGGGTCAATGACAATAAGCAGCAAGAGGGCACCGTGCGCCTCTGACCAGCGGTCCCTTAGACGYAAAGGGCCCGACTTTCCACTCCGAAGGCAGAGGCTGGAATAAAGGGTGTGAACACGTTGATCTGACCATTTGCTGTCCACAAGAGAGTCCCGTTAGCTCTGGACACAGGCTGACAGTGAGAGGAGGGACAGACAGGCCACACAACAGCTACCAAGAGAGAGCACGTGTGTCTACAAATAAGCCAGTCGGAAAGAGAGTGTGTGCTGCATCTGCACGAGGTACTGAAGTACTCTGCAGCCAGGCCCACAGGTGGACAGCGGGAGGACTGCCCAGGAGGTGGGAGGAGAGGCAGGAGGAGAGATGCTCAGTTCCTTGTTTCTGAGCAGTTTCACTTTTGTAAGATAAAGAGTTCAGGAGCTGGATGGTKCTAAAGGATGTATAATATGAATGTACTCAATACCTCTGAACTGTGCACTTTAAAATAGGAAGGTAAATTTTATGCTACATGTATCATGTATACTTTAACAGATTAAAAAGTACTAAGTTAAAAAGAGTGAGAGGGGAGGATTTTAGTGACCTGCTTACTTCACGAGCCTTCATATACTACTTTTCTAAAAGTAATTTCTAACCTGATGCCTCCACCTCCCCATGTTGAGACCTGGGGAAAGGCCTTATTACCATGCAATGGTCACTTCCATTACTACGGTGCACCACCGGTAGGAACAGTGGTGGATCAAGTCTTCACTGCTAAAGCTGTTCACGAACATTCTACGGCCTCATGATGGCAAAGCCCATGTGGGCCCCACCAAGTTTCCTGCTGGCTGTGAATACCACCTCAAGTGTGGATCTTCTGCAACTTTTTTTTTTTGTGTGGTGCTGGGGATTGAACCCAGGGCCTTGTGCATGCAAGGCAAGCACTCTACCAACTGAGCTGTATCTCCAGCCCACAATTTTAACTCTTTTCAAACATGCATGTATATGTGAAATGTATGTCTCTTCCACCTCTCTCCTCCCTCATCATACATCAAAGCAAATATTATCTTTATTGCCCCCAAATAGTCCAACTGGTGAAAGAAAAAAAATTAGTGTCAAAAAGACCTGAGTTCAAAATTCAAAGAACTGCATAACCTTATATTATTATTTAACGTCTACAAACCTTAATAGCACCTCTGTCAATTGGGAGGATTACAAATCTCAGTGGGATCATGAAAAAGCTCACCTACATTAAGAACACTTCCCAATGCAAAACACGTCTATGTGATGGTTATGCGACTGGGCTTACTTGGACATGCATTCCTCGAGGGACAGTCTGGCTTTGAATCCAAGGATGCACCTTGGCTAGCTCTTCCTTCTGCCCAGGAGAAAACTGGGGCTGTTGCTGTCTTAGGCTTTCCAGTTTTTCTAGATCTTCTTTTAGCACAACTTCCTTAACCCTGGAAACAAACAACGACATCTTCACAGTCCTGAATAAGGTACAGGGTTCTGTTCTCTTTGGTGGGTGAGACACTTTCACTGTCTGGTTAATACACGATGCACACGTGGACAACAGTGCAGAACATTTCCCAGCCAGGCTGGTAGCAGGCCTTTTCTTCTCAATGGAAAACAACTGCGCGATGTTTCAATGAAGCACATGGAAGAAATGGGCTTCCCTTTGCTCTCCTTGTCTTTTAGCGTCTAAAGTGTAAAGTTCCTCACCTTGTGTACTGTCTTGGAACGTGGAGCCCTTCTTTTTTTTTTTTTTAGTTGTAGATGGACACAATATCTTTGTTTTTATTTATYTATTTTATATGGTGCTGAGGATCAAACCCAGTGCCTCAAGCATGTGAGGTAAGCGCTCAACCACTGAGCTACAACCTCAGCTGTTTTCTTGTCTCAGGATGAGACACACGTTTGTTCAGTCTGGGTCTGTGTATGTGCCGCACAACCACTGTAACCCTTGCTTTAGGAAGTCATTTCTTGCTTGACTTCAAATGAATAAATCTGAAGGGTATGTATAAAACATTTTAAAATAATTTTATGGTTATGTTATATTTATAACACTAGAAGCCATAACAACATAGAATGTCTTTTAGAATGCTTTCTTACCTCTCTGGCACCTGATACGTCATCAGAACACACTCAGGAGTTTGTGCTATCATTTTCCAGATGGAATCCTCAGCTAAACTGTGAAAGGCGTTTGTTTTCTGTGTATCCTGAGATTGTTGCCCATTTTCAGAGCTTTCAGAAGAATAATCAGTACTAGTGAAGAAGATGCAGCTACCACTGCTTCCTGAAAAAATCAACAACAGATGAAAAGACTGACTTCCAGGTCTGTGGTGGCCAGCTGCTCCTCACCACCCACCCAGCAGGCGACCCGGACACATCTGCTCTGGAAGCAGTTGGGCAGTTTCTAACCAAGCTGACCATACCCTTGCCACAGGCCTCAGTTCCACTCCCAGGTATTTACCCAAGGAAAATTTAAGCATATGTCCACGGAAGAACTCACAGTGGCATTACTGATCCCAGCCCCAGAGCAGAAGTGACCCAACAAACTTCCTCKGGCGAATGGATACATGAACTTCCCACACACCAGGATGGATCTCAACCGCCTCATTCTCAGAGAAGCCTAACATGAACAGCTGCATGCTGTCTAATCCAATGTGCAAAATTAGAGCAAAAGCAAAATTAAAGTGGCAAACCCAGGACTGGAAATGTCTGAAGAGTCACAGAAGAACTTTCTAGAGTGATAGAAAGGTTCTGGTGATTGTAGAAGTGGTTTACAAGTGTACAAATCTGTTAGAATTCTTGTTTTGTGTAATTAAAACTGGTCAATTTTATTGTATGWAAATATACTCCAAGAAAGCCTATTAAAAAAAAGGTGGAGGGACTTTATCTTTACACCAGTGCCTCAATCAGATGGCCCTCAACACAGCAACCTCTGGACAACAGAGTCTGAAGAAGCGGTTTCCCAGATCCACTACCTGAGGCTGCAGAACCAGCTCCAGATGGAGACACCTTGTGGGGTGGGGCTGGGGAGAGGTCACCAGCAGCAGAACTGCTCCTGCTGCCACTGCCACCTGAAACACAGTGCTGGAGAGGAGGGACAGGAGAAGACACATGTTAACATTCTAAGCATCCCATGACGGGCAGGTCTTCAGCTTCACGCTAGGAGGTGAAGACGAGCCTGTCCCTAAGGACGTGTCAAAGTTCCTCTGTGTAACAGGGAAAGTGTCACTGCTTAGGGAGCACCTAAAGCACTCCAAGCATCACTCAAGTGTGCTCTTTTGTCTCTGTCGTTCGGTAAATACGCATATTGAACATTTCATTTGTTCCAAGCACTGTGCAAACTGTAGGCATATAGCAGCAGGCGGAAGGAAGTCCCAGGTTCCCCAGAGGAACGTGCTCAACACGTCATATGATCCTTGGAATAGGCTCTGAGCTAGCCATCTTTTTACTTTCCTCATAAGAAAACAAAGGCAAAGAAAGGTTAAATAACTTGTCTGAGCTAACCCCCAACTAGTGACACAGTGCAGTTTAAACCATGTCCTATTCCCTAGCCCAGACTCCAGTCAGAATGACACGGGGCCTTGCTTTAGATTTTTAGCCAGTGCACTGGTGCCAGGCTCTCCATAGGTGAGCCTAAATTCTCGATTCTGATCATCATACTGTGAACATACGTTCAATGAAGGGTATTATACCTTGAAGGGAAGACCAAAGAAAAACAAGTACATATCCACACTTGTTGGATTCTACACTAAAATACAGGAATGTCAAGATTCCAAAATTTAATTTGGTAATACATAAATTTAACAAGGCACAGTATTTGAAAAGTTAAAGAAAAATGATCCAAATGATGTGTATAAACATGAAATTTAAAGCTGCCTGCTTCTCTTGGGTGGGGGTGGGGGTGGTCAGTGGTATTTCAGATTGAACTCAGGGGCACTCAACTACTGAGCCACATCCACAGCCCTATTTTGTAATTTATTTAGAGACAGGGTCTCATTGAGTTGCTTAGCACCTYGCTGTTGCTGAGGCTGGCTTTGAACTTGTGATTCTCCAGTCTCAGCCTCCCTCCTGTCTCAGCCTCCTGAGCTTCTGGGATTACAGGTATACACCACAGCACCTGGCTAAAGCCGCCTGCTTTTTGATTACAAAAGGTGACTCCTACCTCTTGCATAAATCCTGGTATCCTACACATACGCATGTCAATTCATATTATATGGCCTATTCCCATCTTCCCAGATCTAACCTCAGTTGTAAGAAAATACTTTTTATAGGCAATAAACACGTTAAGTTTAAAACCTGGATATCAAATTTTAGAGGGTGCAGGGAACCTGGTTCACAAAGAAAACTTGAAAAAATGGCCCTTTACAAAAGAGATCTCATCAAGCACCTGAGGACCAGTCCTGATCCCCACATGGGGTCAGGAGGCCCATGCAGGCTCTGTGGAGCAAGGGTTAGCCGAGGTCAGATGAGGACCAAAATAGGACAAGGGACATTCCATGGGGTCAGAGGCCCACTGCAGGCCACATGGAGCAAGGCTTAGCTTTGGCCATAGTCAAGAGACAACTAAGTGGACATCAGTGTTGAGCCTAGGCCAGACGGTGGGTGTGTGCTGACAGCTGCATCACTTACGTCTGTGGCCTCGGGGCCAGCATCCCTTCTCACCGCGTCTGGAGGCTCAGGAGACGCGGGCACATCTTCATGRAGTAGGTCTAGCTGCAGTGGTGAGCTGCTCTGAGAACTGATGAACAGGTGCTCTTCCTTTTGCATCTCCCATTTTTCCTCCACTCTCCCGCTGTTGACTGAAGGAGGTGGTTCCAGGTTTGGAGTCATTGCTGATACCGAGGGAGGAATTTCAGAAGAGTCTGTGGCTCCCAAGAATGGATATGGAGAGAATGATGGTGACCACAGAGGACAGATACGGGGGTCGTGCAAGAAAAAGGTCATCAAAGTATCCACGTGCAGGGAAGGGAGAGCAGGCAGATGCTGCAGGCCACTGGACACAGGTGGCTTAGGTGGACATTCAGGCGTAGCTGCCCAGGCTGGCAGGGGAAAAGCTGGAAGGAGGTAAGAGGACTGGCTGGGAACCATCACAGCAGCTGGGAACCCCAGGCCCGAGGCGCAGGCAGAAGACGGGGTGGAAGGGCACCAGGGCAGCACATCCTGAAGAGGTCCCCCAGCCTGGGAACGGAAGCTGTCACTGGAGCTGCTACTGCCCAAGGGCACTGGTGGCTTTGTTCGTTTGTGCTTCCCCTTTCTGCATCCTGCCAACCTGCTCTGCTTGGAAGTGAAATCTCCTGGAAGGATAAAGATGGAGGCATATTATGGAAAATTAAACTGAAAGAAGGAAGAGAATGCATGTACAGGTAATTGTAAATAGATTATAAAGGAATGAACACTTGCCAATATTAAGTATGTCTACTTCAGAGACGGCAAAAAGTAGCTCTAAAAAGATGACCAAAATTCTGGGTAAAAATTATTACTATAAAATAAGCTTGGGGTTGAGGCTGTGGCTCAGTGGCAGAGCACTTGCCTAGCACGTGTGAGGCTCTGGGTTCGATCCTTAGCACCACGTGAAAATGAAACAAGTAAAATAAAGGCATTCTGTCCACCAACAACTGCAAATTTGTTTTTTTAAAAAAATAAATAAGCTTATTTTACCATCTCTTCAGTTTCTTATAAAAATCAATAGCTCAGATCTCATAAAGATCCTAAGTAAATTACTGACAAAAGGGAATTTACTTCAGCATCTCTCTTTCAAGCACAACCCCAAGAGCTCACGCCATCTCTCTGGAAGTTGGCCCTCCATATCCACAGGGTCCACATCGATAGAGTCAACCAATCACAGATGGAAAATATCAGAAAAAAACCTGCATGTGTACTGAATATGTACAGACTCACCATCTTTGTCAGTATTCCTTAAACAATGCAGTAAAAGAACCACTGACATTGTCTCAGGCTTTATAGTAACTAAGAGATGAGAATGTGGCAGGTGTGGGCAACCCTCTGCCTTAGGACTCAGGTGCCTTTCAGGTGGGGACCTGCCAGGGTGGGACCTGGAGCCCATCCCAGCTAACCCTGAGGGACAGCGGCACCTGTATGGCTTTATCAGCTCAGGGACAAGTGGAATATGTGTTTTAATGTAACCACCTTGAACACAGGAGCGTCTGGCCTTGCTGCTGCTTTCGCGGTGAAGACAGCAGCTATAGGGCGAGGAGAGGATCTTTTTCCGGAACCTGTSCACATAATCCTGTTCTTCTCTCTGTGTGTGGGCTGACAGAGAGGCGGTTGTGAGCCCTACATGTTTGAATTCTTCTGCAGTGAAAGGAGCTGGCTGGGTGTTTAGGGTCCAGGGTTCACATCCTAGGGCAGCATCCTCTGCTGAGGTGAAACAAGACAGATTTAATTGTAGTCCTTGTCAATTATTTCTATTCACTCATTTATTATTCCAAGTATTTCAACAATTTTATACACATTATTATAACACTAGAATATAAAAAACTTCACCAATCTAACACAAAAATTCTTATTTTTCCTTATAAACAATATATACATACGCACTTTACAGAGTTATGATAATCAGTTCATGTTTCTTTAATTGATTTTATCATAAATGCTTTTTCTATCTCCCTGAATTCTTTAAAACATTTTTTAAATCTTTGTATTTATTTTTCAAACAGGTAATATCCTCAGGTGGTTAAAAAACCAGCAAGTATCATAAAGGTATTAGTGAGCTCTCCCCACCCTGTCCACTGTCTGCCCACTACCTCCTGCTTCTCACTCGTCCTCCTCAGGAAGCCACTGCCTTACTATCACCCAGCTCGTTATGCACAAGTGCCCACAAGCCCGCAGCTCGCTCCCTTCCCACASGACACAGTGGAGAGCTCCGCTGCACAGTCACCATGTGCTTGGATGCTGCAAGGGCTCCATCTTAGCTGCCACCCACAGGGTGTGCACTCCTAAAAATCACTTCTTTCAAAAAAAGATTCTGGGGGCTGAGGTTGTGGCTCAGTGGCAGAGCGCTTGCCTAGCATGTGTGAGGCACTGGGTTCGATTCTCAGCACCACATAAAAATTAATTAATTAATTAAAGGTCCATCAGCAACTAAAATAAAATTAAAAAAAAAAAAAGATTTTGTGGTGGGCACTGTGGTGGACTCCCCAACACCCTCTGGGGCTGGGCAGCATCCGGTGGCCTAGGTGGGCTTGGCCCTGTGTCACTCCCACCAGGGGGCCCTAGCTGGTCTGAATCAGCTCAGCAGACAGGGGACCAGATTTACCTTCCTGTCTGAAACAATGACAATGAACGAACCATATGAAACATGGCTTTGAGGCCGACCTCCTGAGATGAGGGGCAGGGTTTTCAACAAGAGTTGCAGGGAGAGAGGGTCCTGAGAGCGACAGCCAGCCCCCAGTCCATTTGGGGGAACACTCATCAGTGTAGTTGTGTGCAGAAGGGACCTCCTGAAACACAAGGGAAAGGGAACCAAAGATCCCCAAACAGCACCATTTCCATCAGTCAGACCAGAAAGCCTTGTGCTTCCTGAGGCAGGAGACAAGGACTCAGAAAGACCTCTTCCTGGCACCAGAGCAAAATCAGGCCCGGACCACACACTGCTTTGCTCCTGCCTACCAAACTGTGAAAGCAAAGCTTAAAGGGTCAGTCTGTTTCCAGGTAACTTACCTCCGATAACAAAGCTTAAGACTACTCAAAGGAATACAAACTATCTGGTCTGCCTTTATAGTACCTGGCATCCCATCAAACATCAACACTCCTGTGCAGCAGCGGGAAAATACAACCCACATCAAGACACTGAGGAGCGCCTATCATCTGCAGGGACAGAAGACTGGAAGATTCCAGGAACCTGGAGCAACACCACCCRTTGGAGGATTTGCACCACCTGATTTAAGATTAGGAAGTTGAAGAGTCGGGCGCCATGGCCAGCACAGGGCTTGATGAATTTTGTTCATCTTTTCAGAGAAACTGCTTCTAGTTTTGTTTCAACTGATGCCTGTTTTCTATTTTGTTGACTTCTGCTTTTATCTTTATCACTTCCTTCCTTCTCCTGTGGGTTTACTCGGCTCTTTTTTTTAGTAAAGTGGAACTTTGGATCACTGATTTGAGATCTTTCTTCTGTAGTATTAGCAATTAAAGCTACTAATCTTTTTTAAAAAATATTTTTTAATTGTAAATGGATCTTGTATTTTATTGATTTATATGTGGTGCTGGGGATCGAACCCAGGCCCTCCCACATGCCAGGCAACTGCTCTACCACTGAGCCAGAACCCCAGCCCCCAAAAGCTCCTAGTCTTATAAGTTCTTCTGTAGCTGTACTTCACAGGTTTGATGTGCTATATATACTTCCATTATTGTGGATTTTGAATTATTTTCTAATTTCCTTGTAAATTCGTCTTTGAATCAAGGATTATGTAGAAATATGCTCTTTAATTTCCAAACGTTCAGGTTTCAATCTTATTAGTGATTTTTAATTTAATTCACCCTCCCCCAGGAAGCACAGWATATATTTCATGGACCCTTTCACATTTGAGACTTACATTTCTGCCCCACGTGCTCTACAGGCCCGTGAGCACCCTGTCCTTACATGTACATTACGCGGTCAGCGGGCACCAGGTTCTCGGCAGATCAGCTAGGGTGAGGTGGCGGGCATGTTGTTCAGCTCACCTCTTTGCTSAGGTTCTCACTCTGACCACGGAGGCGTTTCTCTACTGCCTATCTTCAGAAGCTCTTGCCTTAGTGAAYGTTCCTGGCTGCCGCATCACCACAGGGCGCCAGTCCTGCACAGGCACCGCAGGCCTCCTCCCCTACTGCCCAAAGGCAYCGCCTTTCCCATTCCTTCACTCCCCATGCACTTGTGAGTTTGTTTCAATTGTAGATTGACCACAGCACTGCGGGCGGGATATGGTTGGCTGCTGATCTCTGTATCTGTTCTAACAATCTTTGCCCCTTTCTTGTGGCATTTAGTCCATTAAGTCATTTTGATAATAATTAGATTTAAAGCTATTATTTTATTATGTATTTGATTTTTCTGTTTCTGTTGATTTTTCTGTTTTCATTACTTTATTTTTCTTGCCCAGCCCTTCTTTTGGATATGAGCATTTTTAAAGTTTTATTTCAATTTATGGATTGGCACCCAGGCATAGCGGCACATGCCTGTAATCCCAGCTACAAAAAAATGCTGGGATGTAGCTCAGTGGTACAATGCCCTGGGGTTCAATCCCCAATACTAGAAACAAACACATGGATTGATTTTTAGTCATCTCTATTCCATCTTAATTGGTCCCTGCTACAGGTCCTAAGGTGGGAATGGCTCTTGGGAAACAACACTTTCTCACTTTGCCACTCACAGGCCACAGGCCTCTGGGCTAGCTGGCCTGCTTCACCAGTTACACCTGGGTTGTTCCACACATGCAAGGAAATGCTCGTGTGATCACGGTCTTCAGACCCAGCACATTACTAGGGCCAGTGTATGACCACCACAATTTAAAACACATGAGCTGACTCTGCTTGGAACAGAGATGTGGCCCTGGAGTCACTGAGACTGGTTTAAGATCAGGAAAAAAAAAAAAAAAAAAAACTATAATCTGTAAACATTTCTTTAAATGAAAGCAGATGGATTTTAGCATGAATTCTTTCAAAACGGCAACGTAAGACCAGAGTACCAAAAGCACAGTGATACGGTAAAAAAAAAAAAAAGTTCTTATTGGTTGAAACCCTCCCTACCTTGCATGGGCCTGGTGGTGGGAAATTAAACACCCTGTAGGATCCCAAAGTAGGATGAAAAGATGCACTAAAAATGTGCCCCTGCTCCTGTCCTGGGGGCCTGCCTCAGCTCTAGGAAAACACTTATCTTTGGCTAAGTAGCAAATAATCCAATCTCCCTTCTCCACCAATGACAGCTCTCTGCCCACCACGCTCCAGCTGACGGGCTGCTGAGAGAACCCAAAGGGCAAGATGCATCCAAGAACAAGAAGAAAAGGCACAGGAGCAGCTCAGCATGGGCTGGCGAGCCTCCGTGATGACCAGCAAGGACAAACTAGGGTATCTGAAAACCCAGTGTGACAGACCTGTCCCCATGTCATCTACTAAGTCTTTATGAGACTATCAAAAGGTCAAGAGAACAGGAGGGAACAGAAGAGAAAGAACAAGATCAGAATAATCCACCACGTAATCATGCTGTTAAGGAGAGTTTTCAATCTGTTCTACTCCTAACTTCTCCATCAACACAGACGTGCATGTACCCGTGACAGACCCCGTAGGACATGTTCCAAGGTGGGAAACGGACGCCTTCTCTGAAAGTCAATGGAATGATGCTGCGCCAACAGCGAATGCCGAGGAGGTTGAGGGTAAACACACAGATGGTGCCCATCAGTGCCAGCTGGGAAACACAGCCTGAGATGCGTCACCCAAATAATACGGTGACACTTCAAACTACCTTGACTGAATTAAAGAAGGGCAACTATTCCTAATTCTAAAGTTAGAATTAAGCAAATAGTATCAATGACTCAGTGAAGGTAAAGGTGGCACCTGGCTCTGGGGGTGGGACATGGACGATGGTGCTGCTGTAGCTGCACTGGCTGGTGCCTGACCCCAGGCTCAGTGTGGCAGTGGACAGGGTTCCGGCCAGGTCTGCTTCAGCCTCGGTGGGCCGTCCATTTGTGGGCACTTTCGGCTGAGGCATGGCAGGGGTCTGTGGGACAGCTGGTGAGACATGAGAAACCAACAGTGAACAGAAGACTTCCAGTGGGAAGCTTATGCTAAAGGCCAACAGCTTACAAAGTTGGTAACTGACGAATTAAAGCCTCCTGGCCATAAAGAAGAGACCTGAAACTAGGGTCTCGTGATCACAGTGAAAGAGCGAACGGCAAGAAGGCAGAGACGCAACAGGCAGCTCGGGACAGCTCCCTCAGTGCAGACACGGAAGCCCCGTCACCTTGCACTGCTTGGGTGTCGTCTGCCTGGTGGCTCGGCTTCTCCTCTTCTGATGACGAAGCCATGGTGTTTGTGGAGGACACACACTTTCTTTTCAGAGCTGGGATGTGGTAGCTCTTTAGGTACCTGCAACAACAGGAGCAGGCCACAGCTTCTGCCTGTCCCCTTGCTGAGCCTTCCCACCTCTGCTTCTCCTGTGCCACTTGTTTAGGATCCTCTGTTCTTTCCTCTTTGGAGTCTCCCCACGTGCCCTGGCCTGGACCGCTGGGTTGGGACTGCTCATCTACCATGGACTTGGACTGACTCCACGTCCTAACCCACCCAACTCTGAGAAGCTCAGGTCTCGTCTCCCAGTTGCCCCACRCTCCTTCAGGGGAGGGACGTCATCTAATTGCACACTCCGCGATATTCAGTGTACTGTGGACTGCGTGCAGTAGGCACCCCATAAATATCTACTAATTTCTAATATGAAATCCAGACAGGACAGCTGTCAGAAATCTAACAAGGGTTCCACAGAAACAACGTATGTATTTGGAAAAAGMCAACGTGCCGTTAGAGCATGTGTCTCCCACCTGATGACACTGTCAATACAGTTCATCTGTTGATATGATGAGCTGTGCTGGTCTTTCCTCAAATCCTCACAAAACTCAGTGCACGTGCATTTATTTTTCAGTTTCGGGGAGGAAGAAGAGCCCTTCTGTTCATCTGGAGGAGAATGAAAGAATGTATGTGCAGATAAAATACTGAGCATGCAGTTAAGAAAATCAGCAAAATTCAATCATACTACTTTTATGAYATACATTATTATGCACCTATAATACTATGCAGCTATTAAAATGAGCTCAGATCTTAATGCCCTGACAAAAAGATATTCACGCTACATAACAATGCAAATAAAATAAGGTGCACAGCATATTACAACAGAATGATGATATTGGTATTTTTAAAAATGAGGAGTGAAACATATTTCAGACAAGAATCATCAATGAACTGGGAGGTGAAAGGCTGATGGGAGCTGTGCGATGCCAAGCTGACAACACCGTGCCGAGGGTCAGACACTGSCCTGTGAGGGCAGGCCACTGCACACAGGCACGGCTGCTGGTCGTGGCAGGGCTGAGGGGGCTGCAGTGTGAAGTACACAGCGCTGCCTGTGGACCCATGTCCAACAGAGCCTCTGCAATGACGAGCAGACTCTYGTCCGTGTGCCCAATATGGGAGCCACCAAACTGCCACCTGAAATATGGCTAGAGCAACTGATGGAAACCAAATTTTCACTGTATTTATCCAATGAGGCTGGTGGCTACCATGTGGCATAGCGCAGGTGTAGAGAGAAAAGAAGAGGCCCCAGGCCTGAGCTCTAGGAACTTCAACTTGCTGTAGAGGGGAATGAGCCAGAAAGGTGACTGAGAAACAGCCAGAGAGAGGAGACCCCTGCCCAGAAGGGGGTCACGGGAACCAAGAACTGGAGTGGGTTCCAGGAGGAGAGGACAGCCTGTGTCAGACACTGTCTGCAGGGAGGCCATGTCGATGCTGTTGCCACTAGCAAAGGCCATGCTCACTGGCCTGGAGAGCTTCCCTGTCCTCAGTGCCATTCTGGGAAAAATGACCACCTGTGTAACTTCTTCTGTTTAACTTTGAAATTTTAGACTTAAGAGCTGCAAAACCAGTACAGAGTTCCCCCATACCTCTGACCCAGCTTCCACTAACTGTCCCACCTTAGGTACACCATCATCAAATGACCAAAACACAGAAGGCACAACGGAACAGTGGCCAACTGTCATGCAGAGCTCATTTGCATTTTCACCAGTTCACACTGATAAGTTTAATTTTTCTGTTGAGGTCTTCACACTTAATGTCATGGTCACCTCTCCATCTACTGCATTCTGTGACAGTTCCGTAGTCTTCATTTATTCATCCAGTGGTTGATCACTATAGACTCTTGGCTTTATTTTGTTTGCTGGATTAGGATCCAACACTATCATTATGTATTTTTTGCTCCAATTATTACATTTTGGGCCACTGGCAGCTCTTTCAAATTGTCTTGTGTGACCTTCTGACACATCCCTCTATTTTATTTTGAACATTTCCTTACTTTCTGGCCTTGGTTCTTTTTGTTAGAAAAACATTTAAAACCAAGATCTGGCCACATGTGTCCTTGCTTGTGGATCCTCGACAATCAGAACTGGTAAGTATGTTTGTATACCGACCCCTGTCTGTCCATCTGTATGTATGTCCATCCATCCATTAGACAAAAATGCCCGAGTTCCTCCTAATGTCTGTATCTCTAAGCCAASATGATCACAGAGTTCATTCTAGCACTCCTTTTCCAATTATCTGAAACTTCTATGATAGTGAGGAGTATCGTTATCCTTATTTGTATCACATTCACTAATTTGTTCAACCCCAGTTTACATATAAATCAGCTTCAGAACTGCACTGGTAGCCAGGCACAGTGACACACACCTATAATCCTAGCAGCTCAGGATAGAGGCAAGWGGATTTCAAGTCCAAAGCCAGCCTCAGCAAGTTAGCGAGGCCCTAAAGCACTTAGTGAGGTCCTTTCTCAAAGTAAAAAAAATATAAATAGGGATGAGGATGTGGCTCAGTGGTGAGTGAGTTCAATCCCCAGTACCTCTCCCTCCAAAAAAGAATTGCTCTAATGAGAAAGAAATAAACCATCTGGAGTCCAGTGTTGGTGCATGTTAGCATTTTGTGTTTAGCTCTAGAGTATCCACTGAAAATGTTGTTTTCAAAAGCTACCCGCTCCTTTCGTCCCTATCTCCTTCTGCATCCTTACACCATTCAATTGAAACACCGATTCGTTTGTCACAGCTGGCCTACCACCTTAGGTTCTCCCTACATTCTGGGGTGGAGCCTCAATGGGTCTTCACCCAACTGATAGGGAGCCGTGCCTCAGTTGCCACAGTAACCAACAAAATACTCCTATCATTTAGAACTCTCCTAGCTGCCCCTTTGGAGCCAAATCCTTCCCCATCCAACCTTAGGACGTATCCGCCCTCATCTGCAGTCTCAATTTCTGTGATCTCAGTTCCCAAAGTCAACTGCAGTTTCCAGGAACTGAGAAAGTTCCAGAAATAAATGATTCTCAAGCAGTGAACTGTGCACTATTCTGAGGATCGTGATGTTCCATTCCACATGGGATGTGATTTACAACTCTGTCTGGTGTATCCACAGTGAATACGCTACCCATTTGACATTGTCAGGGCTCAGTGATCCAGGACACCAGAAGCAGATGATCCTCTTTCTGAGTTCTATTGGGAAGGTCAGTAGTAGACTGACACTATGTCACAATGCCTACGTCATTCACCTCACTTCATCTGCTCACTTAGACACTATCATCGCACATCATCACAAGAAAGGACATTCATGTAACTTTCTAAAAGGACATTCATATAATTTTTATTCTAACATACTATACATATTTTATTATTGTTGTTAATCTCTTACTCTGCCCAATTTATAAATTAAACTTATAAGTACGCACATATGGGGAAAACATAGTGTATACTACATGGGGTCAGTACCAATCAGTGGTTTCCGACATCCACCGGGAGTCTTGGAACATATTCCCTACGCATAACTACAGCATTCCAGAAAAGAACTGTACAATATATAACCTTTTGGCTCTGCCTTCTTTTACTCAGCAAAATGTAGTCAGGATTCACCTACACTTCTGCCTACATCAGGTCCACTCCTCTTCACTGCAGAGTAATATTCCATCATGTGGATGTACTAGTCATTCATTTGTTGAATGACAAGTGGGTTGTGTCCAGTGTAGTAAATATCCCTGTAGAGGTTTTTGTGTGAACTTAGGTTACTTCGTTTGGGTCAAGAATTAAAATGGAATTTTTTGCCAGGTTATATGGTAAGAACATGCTTTATTTCATAGAAAAGGGTCAAACTTCTTCCAAGTGGCTGTATAATTTTGCATTTTGTCCAGTCATATGTGTTCTGATTACTCTGAATCCTTGCCAACACTTAACAGTCAGATTTTCTCATTTTAATTGATCCATTCTAATAGGTTTGTGGTAGGAGCTCACATGGCTTTATTTTCTTTCTGTCTAATGACTAATGAGGTTGTGAATTCTTCATATGCAACTTGCTGTGTATATGTTTTGGAAAAGTGTTCAGATCTCTTGACTTTTTTTTTTTGGTGATGGTGAGGGTACTGGGAATTGAACCAATGGGCACTTAACCACTGAGACATCCCCTGCCCATTTTATTTTTTATTTTGAGACAGGGTCTTGCTAAGTTGCTTTAGGCCTAAGTTGCTAAGGCTGGCTTTGAACTTGCAGTTCTCCTGCCTCAGCCTCCTGAGCCACTGGATTTACAGGCGTGGACCATCTCGCCTGGCTCTTTACTATTTTTAAAATATTTTATCTCTTCATTTTCTTATCAGTATCTTTCAAAAAATGAGTTCTCAATTCTGATAAAACCCAATGTGTATGGACTTCCCTTCTTTCATTCTTTAAGCTAAAAATTCACTACTTTCATTCGCTTTTTTTTTCTTTTTCTGTTTCTAATTCCACTGATAYCTAGATGGTCTTTATTTCTTTCCTTCTTTCTTATCTTGGATTTAATTTGTTCTTTTTCTCATTTCTTAAGGAGAAGGTTGGTTACTGAGTTGAGATCATTCTTCTTTTCTCCATATATACATTTAATGCTGTAAATATCCATTAAGCGTTGGTTTAGGTAGATCCCACACATTTTATGTTGTCTTTGGGTCAGTGAGAAGTCTATTACTTAATTTCTAAAATTTGGGGGATTTTCTAGGTACCTTCATTACTGATTTCTAGTTTAATCCATGATGGTCAGAGAACATACTTAGGATTATTTCTGTAAATTTTTTAAAAGTTGTAGTTGGACACAATACCTTTATTTTATTTATTTTTATATGGTGCTGAGGATGGAACCCAGGGCCTTGCACGTGCTAGGTGARCGCTCTACTGCTAAGCCACAACCCCAGCCCAATTTCTGTTTTTTAAAAATTGTTAAGTTTTTATTAGAACCCAGAATATGGTTTCTCTTGATGAATGTTCCACATATCCTTGAGAAAAATAAATGACCTATGTTGCTGCTGCACAGTGAGTTAGTTCAGTCCTGAGGTGTCACTCAGATCCTTTCCGTCTTCACCTGTTTTCTGTCTTCTTCCTCTATCACAGAGCAGGGTGTTCAAGCCCCCGCTATCACTGGTTTTGCTTCATGTGTCTTGCAGTTCTCTTGTTAGGTGTGTAAACATGTGCGCATGGACTATTCCACATTCTCCGACAATAAACCCTTTATCGTCATGCAATCTCTTTCTGTAACCCTGAAAAAAAATCCCCCCCCGTTTACGTTGTATGATATTAATGTAGCTTTCCAAACTGTTTTTCTTTTTTTCTCTTTTTACATTAACATGACGTCTTTTCTAACCTTTTGTTTTTACCTTATATTTTATTTTCAACATGGGTTCTTTCTTAGGGGTGCTCTACCACTGAGCCACATTCCCAGGCCTTTCTATTTTGAGACAAGGTCTCAGTAAGTTGCCCAGCCTGGACTCAGACTTGTGATCCTACTGCCTCAGCCTCCAGAGTTGCCAAGATTACAGGCACAAATCACTGCACCCAGCTTTCAAATKCGTTCTAACAGGTGACATGCAACAAGATCCCTTTACCTGATTGGACTTTTAACTGGTATTCTGAGATTATATTTAATGTGACTACTGAAATTGCTGGGTTAAAGTGTACCATCTTGCTCATGTTTTCTATGGATTCTGCTGGGTTTTGTTTCTTTCCTCCTTTTTTGTCTCATTTTAGGTTGTTTCTTTTTTTATTTTTTAGTTGTAGTTGGACACAACTTTATTTCACTTGTTTCTTTTTGTATGTGGTGCTGAGGATTGAACCCAGGGTCTCGCACATGCGAGGCGAGCGCTCTACCGCTGAGACACCACCCTAGCCCCTCATTTTGGGTTGTTTCTTAAATTTGATTTTATCTCTTCTATCGACTTATTTTTTCATATTTATTTTTTAGTTGTAGTTGGACACAATATCTTTATTTTACTTATTTATTTTTATGTGGTGCTGAGGACTGAACTTAGGGCCTCGCATGTGCTAGGCGAGYGCTCTATCACTGAGCCACAACCCCAGCCCCTGACTTATTTTTTTAATACTTGCTTAAAAATATTTTAAATTGTTATCACAGTTTCTAATATATCAATCCTTAAATACTCAATATCTATCTTCAAACAGTACTATTTCAGGTATACAAAACCTGTAACAGTGTAGTCCTAACCCTCCCCATCTTTGTGGTATTACTGTCATATATGTCACTTTGATATATGCTGTAAGTGCAGAATGATTTTTGCTTTAGTCAGTTATCTTTTAGTGCAATTAAAAATAAAGTTTGTCTTCTTTTATTTTCAGTGCCCTTCACTTCTTGGTGTAGACCCAAGTTTGTTGCTTGTATGTTTTGGGGTGGGGGTCTTATATCCTATTCCTTCTACCTTAAGAAATTCCTTTAGCATTTCCTACAGAATGAGTCTGCTAGCACATAAATTCCTACGATTATTGTTTGAGAAGATCATTATGTTGTTTTCATAGCTGGAAGAGATTTTTCACTCCGTATAGAATTCTGTGTGGGCAGCTTTTTCCTTTGAAGATGTCACTCTATTGTCTTTCTAGTGTGCTTGGTTTCTGGAGGAATGTCTACTGTGATTCTTATCTTTGGGTCTATATGTGATTTTCATTCTTTTTATTCTGGCTGTTTTCAATACGTACTCTTTAGTTTTATTCTTAGCAGTCTCACTATAAAATGCCCAGGTTAATTTTTTWWAAAAAATTTATCTTACTTAGTATACTTTGTATCCATGGAAAATTCTTGACCATTTTTTCTTCTGAAATTCCAACTGAACATATGTTAGTTCCACATTGTTCCCAGATCCTTAGGATGCTGTTTTCTGCTTCTGTGTCAGTTAAGTAACTTCTGAAGTCAGCTGTCTTGGAGTTTATTGATTCTTCCCCTGATGTGCGGTGAAAGGCCTTCTTCATCTCTGRCACTCTTCCCCAAAGTATGCAAAACTTAACTTCATTCCCTTTTAACTCAGTTACTTTACTTGATATTTTTTAAATTGCAGGAACAAGCCAGTAGGAAAACAGGCACTAGGGTGTGCAGTGTCTCAGGTGGTCCTGATGTCCRTCCCACCCTGATGCTGGGCTTGCACATGGCCCCTGTGGCCTCCAGCCTTGGGTTAGTGCTGGGATTATTTTATGACCTGTCAGGTGCACTTCAGAGCCACAGGCTGAGCCTTGTTCTGGGGACTGCTTTATCTCTTGGGAGGATCTTTTTATTCTTGCTTTTCCACAGCTTCATACGTTTTTGCTGAACACTGAGTACCTGTATAGGACAGTATAGATTGGGCCTTTCCTTCTGAAAGTCCTGTCTCTGAATTAAACCTATTAAATTTTAGACTAGATTCGTGTTTGTTGTTGTTATGGTTTTATGGACATAAATCCATATTCAGATCATGCTAACTACACTTTATGCTTCCAGGGGCAGGTGGTTTGCAAGGTTTTTRCTTTGCTTTGTTTTTTCTGCATCTGTTCCACTGCCAGCTTTKGGTCTTCCCTTTGCTCGTGCCTCAGGAAGGTCCACCTCCAGCAAGCTGCTGGAAGCCAGTGCACCCAATCTAGCACCTGCACCTCACTCCTCCCTGAAAGCACAAGTCTCGCCTTAGATTTTAGCTATGCTGACTGTCCTGTAACCTTGGCACACCAGCACTCTGATGGGGTCAAGAAAGGTCATGAACTTGCTCTCGGTCTTCCTCAGTGAGTCTGGAGTGCTAAGTCTGCTCCCACAACCCTGAGCAGAGCCTAGAAGCCCCTCCTAGGCAGCTTTACCTGTGGGCCCCCTGCTCTCACTCAGGCACTGCTCCAAGTCAGACACGCAGAACCAATCAGGCCTCTGGCAGTTGACATCTGTGTGCATGGCCGACAAACTTGCCCCCACCCCCCCTCCCCGCCAATTTGGACTTTTAAAATCTCATTTCTCATTCTATTTTAAAGCATTATTTGCCCTTGTAAGAAACGTAAAAGTATAAACTCAAAACTTGAGTTCTTTTTGGCTCTGGCACACTATAGAGAACATGTACCAGGGTCACTGCACACCTTCCTTCTTGTTGATGTAGTCCTCTATTCAAGTTCTAACATTTAAATTGCAACATTCTTGAATCACATCCTGGTATCTCTCAAATAAACAGTATGAAAGGTTTGAGAGAGAGGTTTTTTTTTTAATATTTATTTTTTAGTTTTCTGCGGACACAACATCTTTATTTGTCTGTGGCGCTGAGGATCCAACCCAGGGCCTCGCACGCGCTAGGCAAGTACTCTACCGCTGATCCACAACTCCAGCCCCATAAAAGGTTTTGACAGCTCTTTAAACCAGTGGGTCTTAGACTATTAATAAAAGCCAGGATCCTCAAAAGGCATTTGTTCTCCAAAGCTACACCAAATGGGGATAGGTCGCCCTCCCCCACAGTCACATCTGCATGTGAAATGTCTAAGAGCAGGAACACTTGTTTCCAAAGCAGCAGGTGAGCAGAGAGACTGCCTGTCACTTATGTGACAGCATGTAAATGATGAAAAGCTGTGATCTGCCTGTCTACAGTGTTTGATAGTTCTGATGGGGTCACCAGACCAATACAGTGATAAGAAACTGGACAGTGCGGGAGGTGAGACAGGAAGCTGCTTGGAAATGAGATGAAACACAGAAGTCAGGATATAAAACTGTGACACTAATAATGAGATCCTAGGTCAAGGCAGCAGGGAGCAGGACAGACTGGACCAGACAATGAAGAACATTTAGAAATGTTAACTTTAAGACCTCCCCAAAGTATTTTCTGCCAAGACACATGAAATTATATATCTCAAGAATGAAACTTAAGATAAATTCTTTTTTCTTCTTCTTAAGTTTATATCCTGGTTTCTCTTAAGTAGGAGTGTGAAAGGGAATCTGGTGCTTTCCAAAGACAAAAAAAAAAAAAAGTCGCTATTCATTTCTTATGCTTCCCGCCAAGGTGAGAAGGGAAACTGACAGGCAGGCCTTGTTAGGTCTGGGGAGAACCCTGTGAGCTCTTCATGGTCTGAAGGCAAGTGTCCCTTCAGGATCTGTAGGTTGGCACTCAAACCCCAATGTGGTACTATCAGAGGTGGGCTTTGTTGCGATTGAATCACTAGGGCTCCAGGACTGTCATCAAGGACTACACAGGGGCTAGAGGCGGTGCGCTGTGCTCCCAGAGTTCCAGGACTTGGGAGGCTCAGGCAGGACTCATTGAGCCTGGGAGTTGGAGGCCACCTGGGCAGCGCTGTGAGATCTGGAGGGAGCCAGCTTAGTCCCTGTAGAACACAGTGCTCCTCCCTCTGAAGGACTCAGCACTCCAGAACCCACTCAGGGCACTCGACCACTGACTCTCATCCCCAGCCCTATTTTGTATTTTATTTAGATACAGAGTCTCACTGAGTTGCTCAGCACCTCACTAAGTTGCTGAGGCTGGCTTTGAACTTGTGATCCTCCTGTCTCAGCCTCCTGAGCCACTGGGATTACAGGTGTGTGCCACTGCACGCGGCTTCAAGGATCCATCTTGAAAGCAAAGACAGGGCTCTCACTAGACTCTGAGCTTGCTCCTGGCCTTCCTGACCTCCAACACAGTCTCAGATCCTGACACAGCAGCATAAACAACTAAGGCGGGCTACCGTGACTTTACATGAGGAAGAGCACTGCGACTTTTTTATGGCATACATGCTGTCAGGTCCTGAGAAACAGCTATTGGACTGTCATTACTGGCTTTAGGAACATTGAGTGTCACCCCCACCATGTAAAATGCCTACAGCTGACAATGATAGAGACCATTTATACCACTGAGATGACTAAAATCCATCATGACTGCCAAAATTACATTAACATTCAGGGGAAAAAATGAAGGGAAAGTTAGCTGTTAAAAAGTCAATCTGACGTGATTTCTATATCAGAGTACTTTCCTCTGTTATATAATGTAACTAGGTTAACTTTTCAAAATAATGCAATTGATCAATTCTTTTGGAGTAGTCCTTACCTCATGCTTGAGAAAAGTAAGCATGTATTAAGGAAAAAAAAAAAAACAATGTTTTTCATTCAAAAATCAACTCTTGGTTTATAGGGAAATAGGAAAATCTTGAATTTGCAGGTATTATCATAAAAGTTAATTCTTCAATAAAAATACATCAGAGCCACATTCTAATACCATTTAGCTTTCAGAATAGCATCTGTTGCCACCATTATTGCTGTTAATATCACTAATGTCATTTGGGCAAATTAAGAAAGCTGAAAAGCAGCCACATGGCTCAGGGCTTCATGCTCCAGGCTCCCGTGCAAGACTCTGCAGGAGAGCTCAGTCTCTGGGGGAGGCCCCAGGAACTCTGACTCACCACCACCAGAGGGCTCTGGGCATGTCCCCATCACTGGCTTGACTGAAGACCTGGCCATTGAGTCGATGTAGAGCTGCTGACCCAGATTCTTAATTTTGTTCACACTGGAGTAGACCTGCTTCAAGGTCATCTTAGGAAAAGAGTAAGACAGATTTCAAATATTATAAATATGTACATGAAAGTACACATAAACAAAACACTGTTCACTTCTGGTTCTCTGAAGACACAACAACAAGAAAAGCCAGGGCTTGAACTCAGCTGCCCATGGGCCATGGTACATGGTGCCAATGTGACTTTAAATGTATCAGTTCACAGCATGCTAATTTTTAGAACGCATACAATTAATCCAAATATCACCTTCCAAAGTTGGTGGTTTTTTTTTTAACAGGTTTTCAAATCAAAATGGATTGAAATGTCTCTTATCGATTGAAGGCGAAGATGTCATCAAGTGCAGGCCCAGTACTGACACACCACCCAGCGCCTGCACAGGAACATATCTGCACGCACCGGCTCCTTCTGCACTTCCTCCAAGCAATGCCCGCTCAACTCGCTGGAAGAGTCCACGCTGACCTGGTGCTCCTGCGAACCACTGCTTCCCAGGCTCCCATAGCCACTGGAAGTACTCACGTGAATAGGCTGAGAGAGAAGAGGCCTAATTTCAGAGTCTCTGGCTATATAAATGGCAAATGGTAGCATTAAGCACCTGAGAGTTTCTCTAAAATCATCAGAAAATTAACTTCAGAAATCCCCCGTCCTAAATTAGATATTTTGGGGCTGATGTTTTTAACCTGGATGCTGATTAGAAAGACACTACTTTGTCATTTACTGTCAAGGGCAAAGTCTTGATTCCCAGTCTAAGTGGATATTTCTGGAACAGCAATTGTTTTAAATGCATAGTATAATTAATTTTTAAAACATGAAAATAAATTCTATTTATTTATGCTGAGTTTAGTATAAACAGAACAAACTAAATATATACCATTTTTGGGAGAACTTCACAGACACTTCACAAATCCTAGAGATTTTATCAAAGACATTTTGAAAACCACTGGGCTATTCTATGTGACACTCAGTTTTATTTAGTAGTAGAAACCATCTTTGGTATTTCTTTTCAACAGGCAATTTCTCCTGCTTTTACCTTCTAATAACTGAAACTTACTGTCCCTTTCCTTCACCTTTAAAGTTGGGATTATTTAAAAAAAAAAAAAAATACGCCAAAACTGAGAGGTTGAACATGCTGGTGGTGCCTCTCGTGTAGAAAGGTTGCTGCCCGACTGCTGTGACTCGGTAGGCTGTTTTACAATGCGTTTTTCCAAAAGGATTCCCTATATTTCACATGGAATAAGGAGCAAAAAAAATTAGCATAATTTMATCTAAAAGACAAAAATTTATGTAGAGGTAAAAATTTCTCTTTGCTTACAGTTCAGGAAGTGATTTTATTAATATTGAATGCTAMCATGAAACCCAATTATGTAATTTTGTGTTTGGTTTTTAATATCTTTCACTTTACCTGCAACAGAAGTTTATGAATTTGTTCTTGTAATTCTGTTATGTCTTTTTCATTACTGTTCGTCTTTTTTATTCTTGTAGCAAAAACATCCTCATTTAGTGGACTCCTATAAAATGCCAAGTAAAGATTGAATCAAGCAATTTTAAATCCATTTACAATGAAGTCCAGAGTGATTTTTTAACAATTTTACTCGACAATAAGTTTGTGCTTTTATAAAGCAACTCTTGACTCCAAATACAGGAAATATGAAGCTAAAATTCTCTTCATAGAGGTATAGTAAATACAAGAAACAAACGAGGCACTGACAGGCTTCGTAAGTTTCTCTGAGGCATTAATCTTTCTGTAATCACAGCCATATGTATAAATAAAATCAGTGACGCGTAGCTCACACCGCATCCTGCATGGGGAGGGAAATCAGCAGCCGTACGGAGGTGTGGGCTGGCTGGAAATAAAAGGCTGAAAACATGATATTAAGAAATAAAGACAAAAGAGACAAGAAATATATGAAAGCAGGGGCTTGACAGGTGGAAAAGACCTGATGGGTCTGAGCCTAACAAAGGGAGAAAGCCCACCAATCTTTATTTTATAGGGGAAAGAATGCATTCTTAGGAAGGGTTCTTTAAGAGGGAACCTGGCACAGTAGGGGCCTTATCTCTTACACAGTGAGTCTTCCTCCTGCAGGTAGCTGGCGCCTCTAGGCTGTTCAGGCTCACTGGTGTCTAGTGCACTAGACAGGTGTACAGGCTAGCAGGTGTACAGGCTGGCAGGTATACGGCTGGCAGGCATCTAAAAAAGCTACTGGACCCATAAATTACATGCCAGGCATGGAATTGGCCCCATTAACAGCTGCTGCCTGCAAATGGGTGTGTCTTTCTACGTCTTCTCATGGAAAGACTCCCAGATGCAGTCAAGCTGTCCAAGGCTATGGAGTTCAAAGCAATAATTTATTTGCCACTCTGGACAAGTAGCCTCCTTAACTTCTAAAACATCTTCAATAATGACTGGCTTCAAAATTTGACATTAACTCAGCAAGCTCCTATAGGAATTTTAACACCCAAGTTTGCCAAACAACTAATGTTTGATGCCCCTAATCACTTAACCTATCTATTAACAGGAGTCTAACTCACAGTCATGGTAAAGGTGTGGCTGTCACCAAATTACTTTCAGGCCCGTGTATACTCAAATTCTACAGATTTAAAATCTACTAGCTGAGTATAGTGAACAACAGACATGCCAACAAAGATAACAAAAAGGAGGAGAAATGAACACATTTAGGATCTGCTTTGTGACAAGAATTGTACTAGTTTTTATAATACACAATAAGAAGAACCAACATCTCAAAACCCTTATGATGCACCAGGCACTATTCCGAGTGTAAATATTATTCACTGGAATCACAACCTTCCCAGGTGACCTAATTGATAAGGGGCAAGCAAGGATGGGTGAGGGGATTGGAGTCTAAGCCCCAAGGTCCATGCCTTTGCCACCGTATGGCTCTACCTCCTGGGACCTCAGCAAAGCAAGGTCTACTGAGGTCTACCCAATTAAATATACTAATTCACTGCATCCCATGAAGCAGGAGGTACTCCTGACTTTTAAAAGTGAGATGAGAGTCAGGGGCTGTAGATCAGAGGCAGACTGCTTCAGCTTGCCCAGCGTGTGTGAGGCCCTGGGTCTGCTCCCAGCATCCCACGCATGCACACATACAGTGGGAGGAATAGAGTGTCCAGGGAACATGCCCAATTTACGTAACCAAGAAGCAGCAAAGCCAGGGTCTGAATCCATGTCTGACCTCAGAGCCAGTGTTTGTATTCCTAGGACATCAGTCTGCTATTTCTTACCACTTGCACATGAAGTTTTGTTACCTAAAACTCAAAACACTCTCACAAAGGCAGAAATTATTATCAGACAATCATAGGATATCGGCATTTTGTTTACCTTCTCACTCTCAGGGTCTAGCACAGTGTCTCACCAGGGCAGGCAAGCCCTACATACCTGAAAGAATACTGCATTGAAAATAATTTTGTAAATATGATGAACAACTCTATCATTATCAGACAATCATAGGATATCGGCAGTGTCATAAGAGTAGTCAGCAATAAATCTACATTTGGGGACCATTCACTCATCATGCACAGCCCTAGTCATCTCTGTGTCCAGTAGCACCTAGATGGTAAACAGCGACCCATCAACATCTCTCAGCACAGCACAGTGCACTGCACAGGGCAGGCTGTGCCCTGCTTCACAACCCAACAGGCTGCACTTCACCTAACTAACCACTCTCCAATCAGTTCCCTGTCTGTTCCCACTGCCATGTAAGCTCCATGGGGCTSGGTTTTGTCTTTCTTTACTCCTGTACCTTCTGTACCAAGAACAGTTTCTGGTGCACAGCAGACACCCACAAAACATGTGTTACAAGAATGAATTAATTAATATGAATGATTAGTTATCTGGAAAAAAAGTTCATCTGGCTCAAAATATGTTCCATCTTTCTGTGCACTATGAGCTTGAAAATCTTTCACATGTATTATTTAGATTTTGTTTTTTGGATGAATTTTTGAAATGGAAACAGAATATAGACTATTTTATACTCTGAGATTTAAATATTCTTAGCTGTGAAAATTACTACAAGACTATTTTTAATCCAGCTGATTAACTTGCAGGTGGTGGCCAAGTGGCTGAGCAGTACCAGGCGGATGTGTGCAGGGGAGTGAGCAGGAAGAAAGCAKGCCAGGCCTCACTTTCCACTTTCTGCTTCTTCTCTAAGTGACCTCACAACAGTGGCCACTTCACCTTTTGCAAGAATTAATAGAAATGATTAGTTATCTAGAAAAAATAAAAGTTTATATGACTCAAAACATGTTACATCTTTCTGTGCACTATGAGCTTGAAAATCTGAATATATGATTATATTCTTAATATAATCTGAATATATGCGCTGAGGCTTTTTTAAAAATTTTTTTTAGGTGTAGATGGACACAACACAATGCCTTTATTTTTATGTGGTGCTGAGGATCCAACCCGGGTGCCGCCCCTGCTAGGAGAGCGCTCTACTGCTGAGCCACAATCCCAGCCCCTAAGGCTTATTTTTTTTAAAGAACTGCTGCGCCCCTCCCCTGACTCAGGCAATGGCAAGGCCCTACTGAGGTGGATGGCGCAAGGCGTCCATCCTCTGGAGGAGCGCAGTATGTTTCTGGGAATGGGCTGGTTTGTTTTTGTATTCCTTTAATAAGTACAGTTGCAATTTCTCATATGACCATTAAGTATGAAGGAAAAAACATGACTTTCCCAATTAATGCAACTACTTCTAAAGCATAGATCTGTTTGCTCTAAATGCAATGATTCAGCTGTGGAGTGTAAATTGTTAATGTCTAATGAAAAACTCCCTATATTCCTGTCAAGGAAGTTTTTGAGAAATTAAATTAAAATCTAGAGAAGAAAAATTAATGTTAAGAAGACAGATTAGTGCTTAGTACTGGGCRACTTGTTCTTGTTCCTGTGCACAATGGTTTGTGCTCTTTCTTTTGTTTGATTAAAAGTAATAACAAGTCAACCATGGAACTGGTTCCAGTCAGTAAGTCAAGAAAGAATAGTCAAGGTATAGGCCAATAGTTTGGGACATTTGTAACTATTATTAAAAGTTAACTAAGCAGAAACAGCTCAAAGCAAAATGCGAACTGAAAGTACAAATGCTTGCTTATGCATAAGCCATAATTCTATTCTAATTGTAACTACGTAATATTTTGTTTCTTTGAATAATGATTCCTGTTTTGTAACCACAAAGTACTGTAAGCCTGCCAAAATGAAAAGTATATATGATCAACTTCACAAGTAAAGATTGGGATCAACACCTTCACTTTGGTGTCTGTGTTGTTTCTCCACCCCCTCTTTCGCCGACTCCTCACCATCCCTGACTCCTCACCATCCCTTCGTCTCCTGAGACCCCCTGTTGGAGCTGGTCTCCGACAAAGAACTTTTTTTTTTTTTTAAGAACACGTCTTATTTATTTATTTTAAACAAGATTAGAGAGACAGTGTTTTCTTCCTCTAGTTAACTGTCCTGGAATACATCCATTACAGGAAGGAAAGCCAGGGGAGGATCTAGGAAGTGAATATCTATCTCCAAATTAACAAGTGAATCCTAACATGCCTCCAGGGTGGGCACCTGGGATCCCTACCAGAGCACACCTGGAATGCAACCCTGTGCTCCTCCTGATGGAGAGAACCATGGCCTCTGGAGCAGGAGTCCCCTGTGTTCCTCCTTTGCTAGCAAAGCAATAAAACTTCTTTTTCCTAAAACCATGTCCTAGTTTTTGAATTGGCACGGGGACAAGGACCCAGCTTTCCGTTACAATCGCTAGGAAAACTGTGCTGAATATGAGTTTTTTCCGTAAAATAAGAGGTCTCAGGACCTAAGCTCCCTGCCCACAGAGCTTCCAGGAAGGGCCCAGAGAGATGTGGTGGGTCTCCTGTTAAACACAGCCCCCTGCCCATTTCAATGGTCACACTTGTATGGCAGAGCCTTTGCTTTTTTCTGACACAGGGTCTCACCAAGTTTCCCAGGCTGGCTTTGACTTGTGATCCTCCTGCCTCAGCCTCCTGATCAGCTGGTATTAGAGTGTGCATGCCACTGCGCCTCGACTGACAACACCATTTTTATTTACTGTCTCTCCCCTTACACACATGTGGGTTCCATGAAGGCGAGAGAACATTTTGTTTACCTYCTCACTCTCAGGGTCTAGCATAGTGCCTCACCAGGGCAGGCAAGCCCTAAATACTTGAAAGAATACTGCATTGAAAATAATTTTGTAAATATGATGAACAACTCTATTTTATGAAAAATTAATACCTGTAGACTCTACATCCTTTTCATCATATAATCTTGGGTCTTGAGATGTAAACAGTGGCATACTTTTTAAAAATGCTGACAACAGTCTGAGGATTCATTACATATCAGGTAATTCCACACATATTCTATCAAAAAACTCAAAGGATGACCTAAAAAATCTAGGATTTCTCTCAGGYACTGCCTGGGGGCAGGGGACACAGACCCATCAACAACCCCTGGATGGATGTTTTAGGAAAAAAATTTTATTTGCTCTGGGTTCCCCCCCATTTGCCCTGAGCAGTTATCTGATTTTATTTTCATTTCCCAATAGGTTTCCTACTGAGAGAAGAAAAGTCTCCCTCTCACTGGCACAAACAGTACTCACTTGGTAGTCCTATTTCCTATTTAAACTTTTCCATTAGTTTTTAAACACAAATCAGTCTCAGAGTAGCAAGGAACCCATTCCTCCCATTGAGGTTCTAAACCTGCTCTGCAGAGGCCAAACCCTAGAGTACAAAGCAGTAAGGGAAACCTCGAGACATTTCTCATCATGAAGGGAATATGAACCATCTCCACTGCCATATAAAAAAATCTGATAAAATACGTTTTATTGGTAGATCTACTGTTCTCAGGTTTTTGTTATGTTTTGGTCTGGTTGGTTTTTCCGGTATCAGGGATTGAGCCCAGGGGCGCTTAACCAGCCCTTTTTAATTTTTAATTTTGAGACAGGATCTTGCTAAGTTACCTAGAGCCTCGCTAAGTTACTGAGTCTGGTGTTGAATTTAAAATACTCCTGCCTCAACCTCCCAAGCCACTGGGATTACAGGCGTGCACCCAGCTAWTCTAGTTCTACGCTTACGTACACAAAGTTATATACCAAGGTACAAAACATAACCTCTTGATTTCAGCATGTCAAGCAGAGGTAAATATGCAGTCTATCCTTAAAAAAGCAAACACCACCCACAACCACCACCACCCAAAACCTCCAGCTATCAAAAAGAAACTTATGGCCAGGTCAAAAAACCCTACAGGTCAACTAAAAAATTCAAGGGACAAAGGCAGCCAGGTTGCTCCAGATCCATTCACATGATGTCATTGCATGGACAAGGAACAGGAGTCAGTCATGCTGGCAGGAAATGAAAGAGTGAAGAATCCAATTTTGTAAAAATCAAGATTTAATAAAACAGATACCAAAGACAGTGGACTAAGATGGACATCATTACCTTAAGTACATGTATGAAGACACGAATGGTGTGAATATACTTTGTATACAACGAGAGATATGAAAAATTGTGCTCTATGTGTGATATGAATTGTAATACATTCTGTCATATATAACAAATCAGAATAAAAAATTAAAACCAGAAACAAAAAATAGATACTACTAGGTAAAATTTGACAACAGAAGGCTGACATAAGAAGTTGTACACGCTATGGAGATCTTTAAAATATAGAAGGAGCAAATAGAGGGAAAAAAATCCTTAGTTCCTCTACTCATACCTAACCCRTATTAATTTTTTATTTCCTCTGATCTTCTTTTCCCTATTTCAGTTTGTATGTTGGAAACACAATTAGAAGGACAGGTGTAGATAACTTTGTATGCTGCATTTTATATCTAACATGTCAAACATTTTAGGTATCATGTTAGGTAATTTCTGCAAAAATTTTTATTGACCAATATAATAATACATCAAGCAAATATTCCAGAGTTTACTTAACAATGGACATTTAAGGAACTCTAAGTCAGACATTACTTACTTCGGGTGCTAACTGCTTCAAGGGGCAGTCAGTGGGCTAAAGAATATTAGTTAAAAAAAAGTTTAGAAAATATTAAAGCCGATTGACTTACGTCCGAACTTTATGCCGACCAATGATGAAGGAAACCTTCCGGCTCCAGGGGTTCACAAAGCTGGACCAGCTGGAATCCAGTATGACGTAATCTCCATTTTGAGTACAGAATCTAATGGGTGAGTGTTCAAAGGGAGGGTGGCCTGCATACTTCAAGACTACGTGAAATGAGAAGACAAAAGTGACTTTAGAGACACTGATCACAAGTGCTCTTTTCAAGTTGTTCATCTGTCAATTTTTTCAAGTGTTGAAATAGAGAACAATTGCTTTAGGGTCTCAACCTGTTGCCGATCTAGTTAAAGGCCACTGGCCCAAGAGAAATGAAGTGAAAAGTTGGACGAAGCAGTGGTTAGACTCCCCCTGCAGAGGAGCAGGTCCTACCTTTCTGGTGCATGGTGACCATCAGAGGCCGGTCTTCGGGGTGCAGGCATGCTAACACAGAGGTTCCGGTCAGATCCTGAGGGAGGTAGCCCAGCAAAGGCACTGCTCTGAACCGAGGACACAACAAAGGCAGCAGGTTACACTCACCGAGTAACTTACACTTCACACACTTTTAAAAAAGCTTCTCAGCTGGGGTGCAGTTCAGTGGTAGAGTGCTTGCCCCGCAGGAGAGGCCTTGGGTTTCATCCCCAGTTTTGAGAAGCAAAACCCAACAACCACAAAGCCACCAACGATGTCCCTGAAAACACTTCTTTACTAAGTTCTAAATAGGAAAAAAAAAAACTTATGCAAAATATGTTCATGAAACGATTTATAAAAACAACAACATAAGTGGCTGCACTGAGGGGAAATGGTCTTATGATCCAGTAAATGTTGGTGTCAACAGAGAAGCTGCATCACAAACACACACAGAATGAGCCAGAAGACAGACCTGGTAAGACCAGGCATCTGTTTCCAGCAAGTTCTTCAGAAAGAGTCTGATGCCCATTATGTTGCCATTAAAAAAAAAAAAAAATCATAACATAGATGCTGATAATTTTAAATGAATAAAGCAGGTTACAAATTTATACAGTGTTGTTATAATTTAGATCTTGAATGTCTCCAAAAGCCCACATTAAAGGCTTGGCCCCTGGCCCATGCACATGCTGAGACCTTTAGTGTGGAGGGTCTAGTGGAAGGAAGTCAGGTTACTGGGGACCCTGGCCCCTTGCGCTTTCTCTTTCTGCTTCCTGGCCACAGCTTTGCTCCACCCCATGCTCCTGCAGGGATGTTCTGCCTGGCCACAGATGCAAAGGCAATGAAGCCAACCAGCCATGGACTGAAGCTTGTGAAACTGTGAGCCAAATAAAACTTTCCTCCTTACAAGTTGATTATCTCGAATATTTTGTCACAGTAACAGAGAGCTGATTAACAYAGCATGCTTAAGAATACTTAAACACAAAAGATGATATGAAGTAGACACAGAAACACTTTTAGGACACTTAACACATTCATGGGAAAACTGTTAGGATAAGAGTAAAACTGCCCTAGAAAAAGCTGACTTCATGACCATTTTCTGTGTATAGAAATCCAAAAACATTTTCTAATGCAATAAATTTAAGCTATTTACAGAATTAGCCTTCGATTTTCTAACTTTACACAGAATATATTATACAAAGTATTTCATTAATTACTGTTTGGTTTCAGGGTAACTATAATTAAATAAACCCATTTTCAAATGTTAAGCTTTTTAAAAATCAAAATTAATACCTATCATTATTATGCCCAAGTTTTTGTCATTTTTACTTTACACTATGTGTGGAACAGCATGGATTCCCAGATTTTCAGATTTCTTTAATAATTAAAATTCAAAAATAAATGTGAGGGAAAAATGGCAGTTACAAATATAATATCAATCTTTAATATTTCCAAATAAAAATATTGAAAATCAGTGATAAGCAATTATTAACATCTACCATTACTATTGTTTAAATAATAAAAACTATCTAAACACCCTCCTCAAAGAAAGAAGGAATGACTTAAATTCAAAATAAAGAAAAATTCTTTAAATAAATTATCTTAAAAAAAAAAAAAAAAAAAAAAAGCTTTTCCCCCACTTCATAAACTGATTTGAGGAACACTTGTCCACTGGGAATGCCTGGGATTAGAGAGACCAGTGTCCAGTTTGAGTGTCCAACATCATGGGTATTACTGGTAAACTGGCTCCCAGGTTCACTGTGTGCTTCTGTGAAGAAGGACTTACCGGCCACCTAAAGCATCATGAAATCTAATATGGTCTCTTRTAAATCACTTTTAGAAATACATCAAGTGTTTATGTTAAAAATCAGACAACACAAATAAATTCCAACCTAACTAACAACAATCTTGCAGGCAAAGGGATGGACTGCAGTTTCACAATGTAGAAGAGCATGCAAACCTGATGTAAACTTTTTCTCATATTTAATACATTTTCAGGAACAAATTTCTTATAGGTTTAAAAAATTCTTACCTTTCATCTATTTCAAGAAACACACACCCTGGGGTGTGTGTTGTGGTAAAAATTCTTTTATCCACTGGGATTCGAGGAGCTAGGAGAAAACAGAAAGACCCATTTAAAGGCAATGGCTAATTAAATCCACTTAACTACTGCTTAACATATTAAAAAGGAACTAACATCACTATATGAAATAGTGGAAATCTCCCTTAGGGCCCAGGCCTTCCAGCAGCCAAAGMTACAGACAAATGATAAGAATTTTCATTAACTACATCTTAATCAAACCAAGTGTGACATTCACTAAGGATAACTTGAAGAAAAATTCTGTGCCCACTCAATAGCCTGTTTTCATCACAAATAATCTAGTGGTTAAAGCAGAAGTAAATAAAAAGTTTAGTGCTAGTTAAGTGGTTGCAGACAACTCAACAACAAAAGTATCTGAAATTTACTTAGTATATGGACGGTCTTTGCATAATAAAATCGGTACTGTCGGGCTGGGGTGTGGCTCAGTGGTAGAGCACTCACCTAGCACATTCGAGGCCCTGGGTTTGATCTTCAAATAAAGGTATTGTGTCCAACTACAACTTACTAAATAAATATTTTTTTAAAAAATCAGTATTGTCAGTTTTGCTCCAACATGTGATTTAAAAAACAAAGAGATGATATCCTAGGGAACAATCTGAGCATCTACAGCACCACATGTGCTCCGGTGCGATTTCTTTTGCAAGAAACCTTACATGGAGGCAGAAGTTGAAACCACTGAAGACACTAAAACATGCACCACTCCATCATCATCCTGCTAGCCGGGTTCTTCCTGCGTTGCCTGCCAAGCGAACTGCAGTGTTTCGTATCTCTTAAGCATGATGGGGCTGAAGTTGTGGCTCAGTGGCAGAGCACTTGCCTATATGCATGAGGCACTAAGTTCGATCCCTGGCACCACATAAAAATAAACAAGTAAAATGAAGGTATTGTGTCCATCTACAACTAAAAAAATTTTTTTWAAAAAAGCATGAATGTGTAAAATAAGCTTTTATTTTTATTAGAATCCTGTCTTATTTTTCATGTGTGAATAAGTTTTGGGCTGACCCTACTGTCACCACAGCTCTGCAGGTTTGTGAGTTCGTGCAGGCGAGCATGCTACATCAGAATGGCAGTGACGGCCACAGCACCCAGAGCTGCCTGAGCACTGGCACGTGAGTTTAGAAACATGGCTCTGCTTGCTCAAGTTTCAAAACAGTTTTTTAAAAACATGCATTCCAGGGGCTGGGGGTACAGCTCAGTTGGTAGAGTGCTTGTCCCGCAAGTACAAGGCCCTGGATTCAATCCCCAGCAACCCCCCACCAAAAAAAACAACAACAAGAACAACAACAAAAACATACATTCACTCCTATGGCCTCTCTATGCATCAGTTTCAGGGCTCAAATTCCACACAGAATCAAAAAGCCCTAYGGAATGGGCCACCAGCAGAGAAGGGACTAGAGGACCATGGATCTGTCTGAAGTCCCAGGCTAAGATGGTGAGGCCAGGCTGTCAGTGAAGATGGCTGCTCCGGAAGTCAAGGTCAGTAAAAGTTGACCAGCATGCTCAGAGTCTAGGAGCCCAACTCCTAAAAACAAGCATCTTTCTGCCCTAGGGCTGCAGTGAACAGGCTTCGCTGTGTTCCTATCTGATTGCTGGCGTTTCTGCATCTCATCTAAAGGCAGGTCCTCCTGACTTACCTTCATAACCAGAGTGAATCTTCTCAACCAGCGTTAGACAGCAAGGTTCTGATTCTGGTTGGGTAGAGCTATGTACATGAACCAAATAGGGGATGATCCGGAACGGGGAGTAATGCTTCTCGTGCTCTCTGCCTCCACCTCCACTGAAGAGATGGAAGGTGGTTAGTGCTGGCCCTGGTGCCCTCTGGGAATGGCCCCATGGGGAATTCCCAGACAAACACGATCAAATCTAAGATTGTTTAAACAGCTTGTTTTCCATAGCAGGGCAAGGTTAGTTTGAAATTTCAATATCCAGGCAATACTACCCGTCCATTGTTCATTGAATATGGAGAACTGCTTATATCACCATGAGTGTAATAGCAGAACAGACATTGCATGATTTTCTCCTGACCTCTGTGCCCCAAATGCCCAGGCTGACTCTTCTGCTTCTGACGTAAGGAAGCCTATCTTATGGTCTACCTCAAGTGCCACCAAACAGAGAACTGGTTCTCTGTGGTCATGTCCCAAAGCCAACTCTCAGTTGTCCCTTGCCATTTCCTCTTCCCAAGAACTAATTTAGTCTCATAGCTTCAGCTGGACAGTCGGGTACTCTAGTCCTTCAAGATGCCTGCCTGAGGAAGAAAGGAGAAGTCGGGTCTGAAATCCAGCCCCTGCCCCAGCCCTGGCCCTGAGCATGTGCCTCCTCCTGATTCTCACGAAGATCTGGGTTAGGGTGGTGTCTGGCTCTGAGTGACCAGTACGAGGATTTCACCCCAGCTGCCCAGGGGACATTTTCACTAGGATGTGCCACCATCCCTTAAGAGTCCATATGACCGAGGTCCGACTCCCACACTCTACTGTGCTAACCACACCTCTCTCCACACCATCCCGGTCCTGACACTAATCCCCAGCCGGTCTCAGTGCTGCCAGACATGCGCCCAGCACACACTCCCCACTGGCTCTCCCCTCTCTTCCCTGTTCCTAGGACCCCTCCTCCTCCTCCTCCTGCCCTGCAGCAGGTAGCCACACAGGGGTTCCTGGATTCCCTCCTACTCTTCCTCCGTTCCACAATGGGCTTCCCAGGCTCCTCAGCCCAAGGGTTCTCATGCCACTGACGTGCTGATGACCTAGGACCCACCTCTGGGCTGGACACTTCCCTTGAACTAGACTCATGTCTCAGCTCAGATCTCAAACTTAACTTGCCTTCCTGCCTCTCTCCAGGAAGCTGCTTCTCCTACAACTTCCTCCACCTCAGTAAGTAACTCCAGCTGAAAAACCCTGCTGTCATCCTTGCCCCCTTTTCACCTCACACCCCAAATTGAATCCTTTCGTAAATCCTGGTGATAATCCCACCCRAAGGCTGCTGCGCACTGCCTGCTGGCCTGGCACTACGGACAGGCAGCCTTCCACCACTCTCCCTGCCTCTRCCCCTTCACAGTACTGCCAACACAGCACCCCACACAACCCTTGGTAATGTAAATTATGCTTCCTTTCAAAAACCCAAAGCTGTCTGGCTCTGTGCACTGAAATTCCTGGAGCAGTGAAAACCCTGTAGYAGCCATGCCTACTACCCAGAGCCAGTCTCCAGAGCTTTCATGCCACTTCCCACAGGAACTGGGGATTCCCAGGGAAATGACTGACTGCAACTCTGGGACATCACATGCCTGAAAGAATGGAGGTCACTGAAAACCTCACGGGCACCCTCTCAAGGGCACAGGAACCACCCTGGAGGGTTTCCTACTGCTGAAATGGGCAATTTGAGCATCACAAAGATGAACGGGAACAAACATTCTGAAAAAACCTCTGAGGAAATAACACGATAGCTGAGATTCGCTTCAAAATAACTTGGGGAAGAGGAGCAGAGGAATTGGTGATAGTACACTCACTGGTCACGGGTTAAGGTTATCAAAGTTGGATGATTACATATTGATTCTCTACTTTTCTGTTATGTTAGAAAACTCCCAAACTAAAAGGTTTTTGAAACAAGTGATGACCCTGAACAAAATAAATCTATTCAAAAGCTGCTCCCCGCATCTTGGTCCTTCCTTGGCCACAGCCAGGCAGTTTCCCTGCTGCCCACCCCCTGCCAAGGCGGTGCCAGGCTGTACCCTCTGCCAGGAGCAGCTTCCTCAGACACTTCCCGGCCCTCCATTCTTGTATGGCTCACTACCTCACCTCCTCCAGTCTCTGGCTGCAATCAGGCTTCTTAAAAGGAGAGTTCCTTGATTACTCTTGCCACCGTCTGGGTATGGCTTGTCACCGCCAAAGTGCTAATTGCCAGTGCAAGGTACTGAGAGGTAGCAGGGCTTCAAGGGGTTTAGGGTCATGGGACCAYCCCCAGGAAGGGTCGGTGTCGTTCCTGTGGGAGTGGGCAGTTTCAGTAAGAGTGGGTTGATCTGCCATCTGGTTCCCTGGCCCCTTCTCTTTGCACATGCCAGCCTGCCTGCATCATGAGGCCCTTACCAGAGGCCCAGCAGATGCTGGTGCCACGCTCTGGACTTCAGAACTTGGGCCCAAATAAACCTTTCTCCTTTATAAATTTTCCAGCCTCAGGTACTCTAAATAGCAACAGAAAATGGACCAAGGAAGCCTGAAATACAAGGGCAATCTCTTCACTTCCCAGAACTCCCTTCTGCTGAGTTAGTCTCTACAAAGAATTTATTGCCAGGGGACACACACATTTACATGTTATTGGTCCCCACTACAGAACTCAAGTACACAAGAACTCAAGTACACACGGGCAAGCGTTTTGACCCCAGTACTATAATCATGCCTGCTCAGAAGTTGAACCTAAACACAGTCATTAAGCTGATGAACCCACAGGGTATTTCCTGGGGGCCTGGGCTGTTGGTGGGCAGCAGCATAGGCCTCCCTGCTTGCCCTTCCTTGGCTCACCCCTCCTTGCATTTAGATCCTACCAGTGCAGGCCCCCAAATCCATGAGTGATATCATTAACCAATTACATGGGTTTCTCTCTAACTATCTACGGCAGTTATAGCTTTAATCACGATGCCATCTTAAAATATTTTCCCTTTTTATTATGAAAGTAAACTCTGTAAGAAATAAACTACCATTAATATTATGGTCTATTTTCTTCTAGTTCACCATCTCTGGATCTTTTAAATCCTTCTCACAAGTATAAATACCTTGCTTTCTTAAAGCTATTTAAGTGGGGTATAGTGGTGCAGCAGAGACTTGGGAGGCTGAGACAGAAGAATTGTTAAGTTTGAGGCCAGCCTCTGCAACTTAGTGAGCTCCTATCTCAAAATAAAAAATAAAAAGGGTTGAGGATGTATCAATGGTAGAGTGTCCCTAGGTTCAATCCCTAGCCCCATGGGGGAGGGGGATGGAGAAAAAACTTCAAAAATTTAAAAATTCAAGTATAGCTGAGTAGGGAAAAAAATTTTTAAATGTGACTAAAAGATAAAAAGCAGACCAAAAAGTGCACTAAATAATGGTCATTTCAAAACGTGTGGCTGGGGTTGTGGCTCAGCGGAGGAGCGCTCACCTAGCAGGTGTGAGGCTCTGGGTTCGATCCTCAGCACCACATAAGAATAAATAAATAAATATAATAAAGGTACTATGTCCAACTACAACTAAAAAATAAATGTTTAAAAAACAAAAAATGTTTTTCCTACCCACTGACCCCCACATGCCACTGGGGTAGATAGTTAGCTTTCTGACTTTGCCCACTGCACTACTGTCTTCTTTATTCCCGAGCATGTCTCTTTTTAATACAAATGCAAATTCCTCATGGCAACCACATCTATTTTTTTTTTAATCTACAACAGAATCCGGCTGAATATAAAAGAACCAGAATAAGTGCTGAATACAAACCAGAGCATCAGGTGCATTCTGGCCTCCCCAGCCTGTCCACTTACCGGATCCTGCAGAAGAAGGGCTTCACTGGAGCACATTCGTACTGTGATGCTAGAAACAGAGATAAAGCGTCAGTTTCTCGTCCCAAGGGCCACACTCCTCATACGAGCAGTCTCCCATTACTGCCAGCCAACAACTGAGGATTATTTTTAAAAAGAGATGAGCTTTTGACTGASAGGACTCTCTTCCCTGGGCTGAAGGGCCTTGTATTATCCCAGCAACCCTCTGGCAGACAAGTGGGGGCAACTGACTTAGTGATTGCTGCATGCCTGCCCACATTCGCTACTTCAAATGCCACCACAGTCGTCCTTTGACACCATTATTTTGGTGGTAATAGTCTGGATAGTTCTCAATACTTGGAAATTTAGAACAGTTTTAGCATTTAGCTCTATGAAATATACATTTCTTTGACTTTTTCCCCTTCACTTTAAATTCTTTCCTTGGAAAAGTTTCTGAAAGTTGTGTTCTAGGTTAAATGATGTGTTCATTTTACAACTCTCAGATACTCTTTTTAAAAAAATACATATTTTTTTAGTTGTAGATGGACACAATACCTTTATTTTATTTATTTATTTTTATGTGGGGCTGTGGATTGAACTCAGTGCCTCACAAACGCTAGGCAAGTGTTCTACCACTGAGCTACAATCCCAGCGCCATCTCATGTATTCTGAAATKAATTTCTAGAGACTATACGGATTTACAGTGTCACTAATGCTTTCTCTCAATAATACTCTCTCATGATCTTCATGCCAACAGTTTGTGTCAATTTAGTGACTACTAACTTACAAGGTGACAATTTAGAAATAAATTTGCTTATCTTAGGGTCAAATGAGGGGGTTGAACCTTTACCCAAATGTTTGCTACTTGTATTTCCTCTGGTATTTTTGGGCATTTGTGCACTGCAGTAAAACATGGAAAGCTTTGAGAAGTTAAAAAACAAAACCAACAATATAAAACAACTGATGGTAGCATAAATGGTGACAACCCTAAAGAACCAAAATACTGAATCAGGCTGATCTCTGCTTCCACGGAGAGGACTGTAGGATAATAGGGGATCAGCCTCTGCTGTGATGTGAACTTGCTCACCAATCACACACTGCACGAGGCTCCTGAACCCAACTGTGTTCACCTCAAGTCCCAGAACCCTGGGAGCCAGAATATGCAATCTCAGTGGGCAAAGCCCATGAAGCATTAGACACCCAGGCTACAAGTGTGAATTCTTGTTTCTGAAGTATGTTCGCAGTAAATAGCAATCAGATCCTTCTGAGAGGTATACAGAACCAGTTTTAAGAAGAAACATGTTCTGATGCAAGACCAAAGGCTGCCCACAGCTGGCTACATCACTTCCTATTTTCTGAAGGCGGTAACATAGGCCCATCCAGTTGTAGGGCTCAGCAACTGCTCTAARTATGAGCTTGAATCCTTGAGATTCACAGGAAGAAATATAATGTGCATCAGATCATGAAGGCACAAGTCAATTTGAGGTGCCAAAGACAAAAATTGCAGGAGACACTGTTTTTACATGGAAGGAGCGTGTCTCAATCAACAAAGATGATCAGGCTGAAGGACAGGACAGGGACCACACGTCAGTGCTGAAGGGAAAATGTGCAGGAGCTAGAGAATACTCTGGTGTGTCTGTCCTGTTCCTAGGCTGGACCCCAGCATCTAGAATTGTCCCTGGTCCACAGTGACTGCTGAATAGATGTTTATGAAAAAAATGACTAATAAGGGGAAACAAACAAACATGGATATTTAAAGATGAAAATGTGTATTTAGGAATGAGGAAGAGAAAGGCAATCAATGCTTTTGAAAGATGCAAAAAGGAGAAATGAYGGAGCTAGGAGGCAAGACTGCTAGCCATGTTTTCTAGAGCTTATGAAGAAATATTCAAAAAAGATGGCAGAGGGGCTGAGGCTGTGGCTCAGCGGTAGAGCACTCGCCTAGCATGTGCAAGGCCCTGAGTTCGATCCTCAGCACCACATAAAAATAAAATAAAAGCATAGTGTCCAACTTAAAAAAAAAAAAAATGGCAGAAAGGTGACAACTAGAAAAAGAAGCAAGGCCTTTCCTCATTGGGCCAAGAACTGGATTTTAAAAACTCAGAAAAGATATATATTAACCTGGCAAAGATGAAATAGTTCTGTTTCACAACAGTGCAAATATACTTCACATTACTGGTCTATACACTTAAAAATGATTTAAGAAGGCAAATTTAATGCTATAGTTTTTTTTTTTTTTTTTCTATTTTCTTTTTGGTACTGGGGATTGAACCTTGAACCCAGGGACACTTAGCCACTGAACCACATCCCCAGCCCTTTTTTTAAAAAAAAAAATTTTATTTAGAGACAGGGTCTTGCTAAGTAACTTAGCGTCTAAGTTGCTAAAGCTGGCGTTTAACTCACCTGTGTCAGCCTCTCAAGCAGCTAGAATTACAGGCATACACCATCACACCTAGCTGCTATACATTTTTTAATCACAATTTTTAAAATTTAATTTTTTTTAATAATTAAAGGGTTTGGAATCAGACAGTAAGCTCTTCGAGACACTTCACAAAGAATATGAAATAAATATTATAAAGAGTGATTTAAAATAAAGGAATTATTTAAAGATCACACAGGATTGAATGTCACAAGGAAAACTGACTACACATCCCYGGTTCAGATAGACAAGCATTTCAAAAAAGAAAGTGATGAGATTCATAAACTTTTAGGAGGAAGCAAGAAAAACTGGAAAAGGGAGCTATCAGTTTTATCTCTAAAGTAAAACTTATTATATAAGGAAATCATGAAATCAACATAGAGGAAAAACATTTAATTTTATTAAAGGAAACAGGTTTTGTAGCAACTAAACTGTTGTATAGTATGCTGGTAATCAAATCATATTTTAATATATAATTTATGAAACTAACTTGACTAAATGAAAACCAACTTCTTGGGTCTTTGTGTTATTAGAAACATTTAAAATGCTGTTTCAGCTTGTAATCTCAGTGGCTCAGGAGGCTGAGATAAGAGGATCGCAAGTTCAAAGCCAGCCTCAGCAAAAAGCAAAGCGCTAGACAACTCAGTGTAGACCCTGTTTCTAAAGAAAACAGGGCTGGCGATGTGCTCAGTGGTTGAGTGTCCCCGAGTTCAATTCCCGATGCATGCCCCACCCCCCAAAAGCTGTTTCATCATATTTTGACATTTTAAGAAAAGAAATAAGACAAACTATATAGTTCACATATTCTAAGTAATGCATTAATTTCTGCACTATTTTTGTAAAAATGAAACTGATCTTGGGGCATGATACACATCCCAACATTGGTCCCATTACCTCTTTGGGTCCAGCTCCTCCAGAAAGGAAGCTGAGCTCGGGCGGTGTGTGTGTAGAACACCCTCACGTCTTGAGGGGCAAGCAGGTCAACAAAGTGAGAGGACTTCAAGAAATCTTTCTTGCAATTCAGGATCAAAGCAGCCTGCTCAGATATGTGCACTAACCTTCCAGAAAGAAACGAAAACACGGCCACAAAGGTATCCTATGAGAAACCATTTAAGACAAACGCAAATGTTACGATACTTATGGGAAATACCCCCAGAAAGGCAAGTTTCTTCTAGATTTCTACTATAATCAATAACCTAAAACATATACAAATCCTGAAAAGGCAAGAAAATTCCAAAAATAGTTTCTTTCAGCATTCCTCTTAGAAAATATCACAAAATCTGCAATTCACCTGCTGAAGGTTTGATTTCTATGCCAAAAAATATACTGGCTCCTTCTACACAGACTCAAAATACATGTGGCACAAAAGCTTCCGAGTCCTTCTTCAGAAACCGTGCCTCACACCCAGGGAATCTGCTGCCTTCCCAGCAAGTTCTGTGCCTCCCCCAGGAAGTATCCCTGAAGATGCCTCACCCAGCACCACTGCTCTGATTATCCATTAGACACAAATAGGATTTGTTTATGATCAGCCACCATTTGTAGTATCATGTTTTCCTCTTTAGCTTTATTTTAAAGATCTTAGAGGGAAAATGTTTTCTTAAACTTTTTTTTTAAAAGCTTCACATATCCTGCTACAGTATTGTGCACATACTAGTTGGTAAAATAAGCTCTATTACAAAAAAGTAGATTTTTAATATTTTTATATGAGCTTATTTTACAATGTTACAAAATAGTTGTTACAAGTATGTTGAAGTCTAAATGTAAAATTAAGTCATCACTCTATCAACAAAATGTGAGGCCTATTTCCCTGTCAACTAGACAAAAAAAAAATTATCTTCCAAAATTTCACAAAAAATGAGAGCATCTCAACTCATCTGTTCTATAAAACCCAATGGTAATAACCTAAAGTAGTTATTGAACCTAAGAATGATACAAATAGAAATTAATAATCTGGAGATGAGAATAAAATGTAGGAAGTTACTCTGCGGCATTATTATTTTTCCTTTTTTAAAAAGCGTTCTCTCTGTATGACTTTTTTCATTGGTTCTTTGTAGTCTATAGGATTCATTTTGACATAATTATAAAAACCTGGAATATAATTTGTTCTAATTCATTCCTTAGTACTTCCCCTTTCCCCTCCACTCTTCCCTCCCCTTTACTGATCTGTTATTTGTATAGGGGTTTTTTGGGTTTTTTTGTACTGGGGATTGAACTCAGGAGCACTTGACCACTGGGCTACATCCCCAGCCCTTTTTTGTATTGTATTTAGAGACAGTCTCACTGAGTTGCTTAGGGCCTCACCATTGCTGAGGCTGGCTTTGAACTTGCCATCCTCCCGCCTCAGTCTCCTAAGTTGTTGGTATTACAGGCGTGTGCCACCGCATCTGTTTTTTTTTTTTTTTCTTAAGTTAGTGTCTTATGGATGCACATGATGGTGGTATGTTCATATTTGTACCTAGGAAAGTGAGGTCAGATTCATTCCACTGTCTTTCCCTACCCCTTCCCCTTCACTTCATTCCCCTTTGTCTACTCCACTGATTTCTTCTATTCTCCTTTTTTTAACACCCCTCACCCTTATTTTGGATTAGCTTCCATTTTTCCTCTTAAGAAAATTCAGGYATGCTAAGGGGATAGAAGCAGCTGGTGAACAAATGAAACTATTGCCCAGTACACAACACACTGCTTCGGTTTTTGGATGTTCTCTGGCAAGAGAAGCTACACATGCCTTTTGAGCAGTTTCTCCTCTGTTTACCTCAAACTGTGGTTCCTGAAAATTTCACTCAATATTTTTAAAAATATACAACTACAGAAGCTCCTTAGGAGAAGTCACCCAGGTTGACATGGGAACATTCATAAATTCTTACTGTGTTCTTAGAAGTGTGTTCAGAAGCAACAGTGGCCAGCTCCTTCAGACTGTACACAGTCACTTCCCTCTCAGGTGCTCCGTTTAAATTGTGAATCTGGAAAAATTCACTGTTTGCTAAGAAACACAGGGAAATAAACAGTCCAGTGACAATGGTATCTTCAGGAAATCACATTTAGCATTAYTAAGCAGGCTTATTAGGAAAAGAACACCTTAAGAGCATTTCCCTCAAATCAAGTCACTTTCTGCTTATATCTAAACTACTGACAATTATGCAAACTTACAATTATGAATTTTATGACTCTGCCTGTTCTAGGTCATAAGAAGCAAGATACATTTAATATACTAAAACAAGTTAAAAAAGCTTCAGACACAGGCAATTTTTATGGTGGGAACATTACTTCAGCATTCTGAAGCTACAGGTTATAGATGAAGCACAGAGTTTTGGGCTGAAGAGAATATGATTGTATGAAATCCCCTGAGGAGAAAAATCAGAAAGAAAAAGGAAAAGGTGTTTAAAATTGTTCGTTTTTAATTTGGCAAATTCTTAGCGTATCATGACTGCATTTTCAAAGCATAGGTAGGACGRGAAAGGGTAAATTGTATTTAGTCAAATGTGTTTTCTCATGTGACCCCCCACAGGAGACAATGTTTAAAAAGTTAGTTTTCAAAATGTACTTATCCTAAATTCTCTCTTGCAACAGATCAGCAAAGTATTGCATAACTACTAAACTGTTAGCCAAATAAGTTCTCCTGGTCTTTCAAATTTGAAAAATTAAGACACTAATGAAATCAGTCTTAGATGTGCTCAAGACATCTTACACAGAAAGCTAAGACTCCTGTTCACCGCCAAGGTGCACCTGCGCCTGCACTTGTCTGCAGCTGTTTACCTTGCACACTGCGCACGCAGCGAAGGGCATAGTTGAGGGCGTCCAGGGTGCTTGGTTTACTGCGTCTCTCCGCTGGAAAGTATTTTTTCATTTCTTGGACAACCATTAGAAGTTCTTCTGAAACTCTGTTTCGATCTTGTTCCCTGGAAGATAAAAAATGAGAAATAGAGGCTGGGGTTGTGGCTCAGCGGTAGAGCGTTCGCCTAGCACGTGTGAGGCCCTGGGCTCCATCCTCAGCACCACATAAAAATAAAGATGTCGTGTCCAACTACAATTAAAAAAAATAGATACTAAAAAAATGAGAAGTAACAATGTTGCACATGCAGGGACAACAAATTACTTTGCAGGGTCACTGTGCACATCGACTCTTTCATTTGTTTATGCTTTTTTTCTTTTTTCCTTTTCCTTTTGGCACTGGGGATTGAACCCAGGCGCGCTTCGCCCTGGAGCACATACCCAGTCCTCTCTGACACAGGGTCTGAGTTTTCAGGGTTAGCCTCAAACTCGCCATCCTGCCTCAACCTCCCGAGATGCTGGGATTGCGGGCAAAGAGACAGAAGACGTCACTCTCCACTCCTATTTCCCACCTGGCCGACCTCAGGGGACCTCTCGGCCACTCTGTCGCTCCGCTGTGCTCTAGTCACCGTCTGCGGCATCCCAGATCCCTTCGCCCTGATCTCTCCCCGCACTTTCTCCCGGGGTTAAGAACTCAAGATCCAAAGGGCCCGAGTCCTGCTCTCCCACTCCCTGCTCCAGAGGGACAGCAGACGGCCAGGGTGCGCACGGGCGGGGCGTCACCTGTGGCCGCTCTCGGCGCGCGTTCCCTGCCGCCGGCCCCCGGGGCCCCGCGTCCCTCCGCGCCCCGCGTCCCTGGACTCGCGAGCGTCGCCGCGGGGCGCTCCCAGGCCTTCACGGGGGTCCATGGCGCGCCGAAAGCCCTCGGCCGGCCGCCGGCTTCTCACTCTGCAGTCGGCGGCAGAGAAGGACCTCCCATCGTGGTCCCCGCCACCGCGCTGCAGGAAGACCAGTCACCACAGCCCGCCACCTCCGGTCGCGCTCATCTCAGGGGCACTTTCCTCCTCGGCATTTCACAGAAGTTCGCGCTTCTCCCTCGCGGAGGTCCAGCCCCGGGGAGAACACGAGGTGACCAGCGGCGCGAGCAGCTCGAGCCCCTGCGCGGCCCTCTGCCGGGTCCTCGCCGCCACCACCGTCCCCCCGGGCCGTGCTGGAAGCCGGCGTGCACCCAGAAAGCCCGCCGGCCGAGGGGCGGCTCCACGGCGCAACGTTCCGGGGCGCGGGGGCCGAGCGCTCGCCGCCACCGCGGCCCCGCCAGCCCTGCCCGCCCGCAGCGTGCGGTCTCGAGGCCCGCCGCGTGCCGGGCTACTGTCTCGCCGCGCCCCTCGCGCGCCACGGGACCGGACCCCGCCCCCTCAGCGCGCGATTGGCCGCGGCGGCCGGGTGCGCGGGTCCCCATTGGCCCGGGGGCGGAGCCCGAGCTGGGACGTCTGGGTTATATAACCGCAGGGGGTGGGCGGGGCGAAGCCCTAGAGCACGTTACATAACACGTCGGTTAAGGGCAGCGCTCGGCCAATCCTGGCGGGCCGGCGGTGAGCGGGGGTGGAGTGGCCCCGAAGAAGGCCAGGGCCAGCTCGCGGGAGTCGCGCGCCGGGCTCCCTGGGGGCGGGGCCGGTGGCAGCTGGCACGGCATTGATAGGGTACTGGAGCTGCCAGTCGCTAGGGGGCGGGACCAGGAGGGGTAGGCGGGTCCGGCGCCGCCTCCGCCCTAGCTGCAGGCGGGGGCGAGGGTCCTGAGTGGCGCTCGCGGGTAGACAGGTGACTTTAACTGCGGGAAGGGAGTCCGGGAGGTCTTGGGACGGTGCGGTACTCTCCGGTCTTTCCTAATATTGCTTTCCTTCCCGCTAACTCGAGGTTAGTGGGGCGTGCTTGGAAAAGCCGGCCTCAGGGSAGCCCAGGTAAAATGCAACTTGACCTTCAGAGAAGTTAGACCCTGAAACTTGGCCTTCCTAAAGTTAGCGTTAATTTGGCAACTGGAGGAAGGCACGTATTTGGAAAAGATGGTTCAGTCTGGGCCTGGGGATGTGGCTCAGTTGTAGAGCGGTTGCTTGGCTGCGTGAAGCCCTGGGTTCCATCCCCAGCACGGCTGAAACCAAACAGTCTGAAAGTTCCTTTCCGTTGGTACCTCAATTCATCCCGACAGAAAAAGTGCATATCAAAACCCTACCCTCGGCTGCCTGATACATCAAATAATACTCAGTTAATTGTTTCATGAATCAAAGTTGTGATAAAGGGAGAGGGGARAAGTGAAGTGGCGGTTGTCCATATTATGTATTGGGTAAAACACCTGTTTTTCTAAGCGATATACCTTGCAACGCTGTTCTCCCAAGCTGTTTTGCCAAACTGCATTCCTTCAACAAACACTGAACGCATATCTGGGCAGGGATGACTGTTAGCTTTGGAGACAGAATGGTGGACACACAGAATGAACTCAAGATCAAAAGGGCCCGCTCAGGGAGTCTACATTTTGAGAAAGACATCAAGCATGAACTACTCCAATAAAGGAAGTTCAGAAAGCACTAGCTAATGAGATGGGGTATACCTGAGATAGGTGGAGGTGAAAGGCACTTTAGCCAGGTGATCAGGCAAGGCCTCTGATGTGGAATTGGAACCCTGGTGATGAGAGAAGTAGGCCTTGAGGCTGGGGAAGGAGGCCCAACAGAGCAGAATAGACCACAGACCTGGACAGGGAAACTTCTGCTGTTGAAAAAAACAGGAAGGCAGTAAGCTTTGCCTGGAGAAGAGAGGGCCAGAATGGTATGAGACAAGATGGGAAAGTTAGGGCTAGATCATGGTGGGGCTTGTAATACAGGAATGTATTTGGATCTGTTAACATACGCAAAGGTTTACTTCACAAGGGCTACATGTTTCCTAGTTGCTAAAGAGTAAGACTTGGAAGTAAATATAAGGGAAGGGGGCAAAATACAAGAGTGTTTGTGTTTGGAGATGTCCCTCACCCTTCCAAGCTTACCTCTACCCATGTCAGGGTCTACCTAATTCTCCATATATAGAGCCAGCYCTGCACATCACTTCTGAAAGAACATATTTAAAAACCCCAAAGCCAAATCCTGAACCTTTTGGTAATTGTGTGAAAGCCAGCTCCCCACTCAATGCTGAAAGGCACTTTTCAAAGGGGAGTGGTATGCTTCTACCCACTCTGGTATGGGGAAACTAAGGTACCAGAAGAGTGTGTGTCCTGGAAGGGTACGGATGGGAAAGAAGAGAAAGTGCTGTGTGTAAGGGAGAGGGAGGAAGTGGCACAAGGAATGCCATTTTCAGTACTTGGACCAGGCAAAGCTATTGCTAAGGAACACAGGAGCCAGAGTCATATTTATAAACACTTTATTCAGGTCATTATAGTGCGTGAGTTCCCATCTAAATGCACGGATACAAGAGAGGTATTACTAGGTTAATGCCGGAGCCAGTGGGTTACATGGGACTGCGTATTAAGGCTGAAGGGTGAGCACCAAGGATTCAGAGTCAGACCCAGCCAGGGACCCAGTGCTGAGGGTGTGCAGATGTCTCTAAACCAACAGCTGCTTTCTCACGGCTGGGCATACTGCAAGGCATGTCTCCAACATTAAATCATCTCAGTGATATCAGGGAAACAGATATTAAAGAAATGGAACCAGTTCCTGGTGCAGCTCAGCTGTTGCTGCTTTGTAAAGTCATACTAGCATGTAAACAAGCATTTTAGAACATTCTAGTAAAAGTGGGCCACAGAGCAATAAAGCTCATGTGTTTTTCTCTCTCAGTGCCTCCTAACCTGCTTTCATTCACACTGGAATTCCCACCTTTATGCCACATACCCTCATGTTAAGTCTAATGTATGTAACAAAAAGTCAGATGAGAASAGCTATTTCCACAGCAGCATCCTGTGCAGTTTGTCACTGAAGAAAGCAGGCATCTTGGCTAGCTATCCTCTGTGAAGAGTCACTCACCGCTAACCAATGCCTCATCACAACCATAATTTAGAAGACTGATTTAAGAAGCAGAATATGAAAAAAAATAGGAAACAAACTTCAAAAAACTATCACCTCTGAGGACTGGATTAGGTAATGATCAACTGCACAGRTGGTCTTACTTAAAGGGCTACAAAACTGTTGCTCAAGTAATTATTAGAAAGACAATGGAGCCCACAGCTGATGGTTTGCAAGAAGCTGGGAAAACTCTTTTGTTTACAAGTGAGAGGAAAGGATGAGAGCCTCGCTCCCCTCAACCCCACTGCAAAAGGCCGAAGCAGAAGGGATGGGAGCCATCTACAGCGTTTCAGAGACATGGCAGTGCTCAGGGTGTGGAAGGTCCACACACAACATTACCATTCTCCTTTKGAAGGACACCTTGAATTCCATTTGGCACTTTTCTGAATTTATCTGTCAGGGACAGACTTAAGGAAAATGTATTCATATTTAACTTTTTGGCAAACTAGGAACTTTGGTCATGTTCATAGTTCTATAAAAACTTTTTAAAGGGGTTATTTCTAATTAATATTTTAGCAAGTGATATATATAACAAGAAAGTAAACATCTTCATATCCAATAAAAGAGCAAAAATTCTTTACCAGCATCTTATTTTAAATACAGCAAGAGTCAGTACTGCTTACAAAAAGAATTCGGCTTACAAGGAACCAGAAAAGTATCAAAGTAAGGCACAGCCTATTATTGTCTCAGATCAGTATTAGGCAGTAGTGTTTTTCCTGGAAGGCACAAGTTGGAAATCTGATTACCCAATGGTTTAAAATGTGGCTCTGAAGATAATGTCAAATGACAGGAGAAAGAACTTGGAATGGATTCCCTTAACTGGAATCAATGGCAATGAATTAGTGACAACGTTAAGTCTAGATACAGTACTCTGGAGTCCAGATGTCCTCTGTTGCTCATAGGTAAATCTGTAAAGGCACTGTGCAAAACGGGGGCAAGCTGGCCCTCTGGTTTGGAGTGCATATTAAAAAACAAGGCACACAGCCTAGAAACCAAACTTTACATGAACAAAAAAAAAAAAAATCATTTTGGAAATAACAGTAGGTAAGCTGGATAATGTAGCAGGTTCAAAGTCGAACGTCTTGAAGAGGTTTCCTGGACAGCAGGGTTGAGTTCCACCTGTTCTTCATTAAGAGACGCTCCATACTAAGATGAGGGGAGATTCAAAGATGAGGAGAAGGGCAGTTTAGTCTTTCAGAGAAAATCCAGAATGAGCAGGGACTGCAATCTAATTTTCTACAGGCTACAGAGGGCTGGAGACTAGAGCACAAAGCATCCAAGCCACCACACCCATTCTTATTGAAAGGAAACATCCACCAGCATCCACGTAAGCAACGAATGGAAAACACACTTCTCTAGTTCCMAGATACTGGTCCAAAAGTGGCAATGAGTTCTTCCAATATTATATGTAATAGTAATGATAGTAAGAGTTGTGATATTTATTTATATAACTATTTTTTAAATTATATACTGGGTACCATCCTATGCACTTTGCATATATTTAATTAGATTTGTCCTCCTAACAAACAAGCTAAGTACCATTATTATCCCTATTTTACACATGAGGAAACTGAGGTCCTGAGACATTAAATTGCTTGTCTAAGACCACAGTGCTGGATGGTGGTGGAGCCTGGGTGGATCAGAGGCAGTCCATGCTTTTAATCATTACATCACAATAAAAGGAAATAGAAAATAAAAAATACATTAGGAAAGAAAAACCAGTTAATAGAGATGAATAAATTTTCCCTAACCTCAAAGGATCAATGTAAAAAATCTTGGACTTTAATCATACAAAACTCAAATATTAAAACATTCGCTAAGGAAATTCATAAAACCCTTGGACTGAGCTAACATTCAGAGGGGAATCATCTGGGAACACAGAGTAACTCACCAATGATGATGATGATGATAATGACCASAACGCTGATCCCTATTGCCCACATCTGCAACAAAACACATGTCCACTTCACACTTCAACAAACAAGGAGTGCTTGCTGAAGAGCATCGTGTGAGGTGCACCACAGCCAGGAGCAATTCATAATTTCTAAAGTCTGAATTTAATATTCTCAATTAGGACTTGAAGGTTATTTACTTGCTTTTAAAAATACATTCCTGGGCTGGGGTTGTGGCTCAGCGGTAGAGCGCTCGCCTAGCATGTGCRAGGCCCTGGGTTCGATCCGCAGCACCACATAAAAATAAATAAAGATATGTGTCCAACTAAAAAATAAATATAAAAAATTAAAAATTAAAAAAATAAAATAAAAATATGTTCCAATGAT